CAGAGCTGTTCTCCTCCTCCTCCTCCGCCTCCTCCGCCTCCTCTGCCTCCTCCGCCTCCTCACCCGCCGCCTCCTCCTCGCAGTCCAGATCCCAGTGGGCACAGCCGGACCTCCACCGCGAGCTCCAGATCCCAGTGGGCACTGCCGGACCTCCACCGCGAGCTCCAGATCCCAGTGGGCACTGCCGGACCTCAACCGCGACTTCCAGGTCGCAGTGGGCACTGCCGGACCTCAACCGCGACTTCCAGATCGCAGCGGGCACTGCCGGACCTCAACCGCGACTTCCAGATCGCAGTGGGCACTGCCGGACCTCAACGGGAAGAATGTGAGAAAAGATGTCAGATAGAATGTCAGAAGATATGCCAGATAGAATGCCAGAAAGAATGTCAGAAAGAATGTCAGAAGATATGCCAGACAGAATGTCAGAAGATATGCCAGAAAGAATGTCAGAAGATATGTCAGAAAGAATATCAGAATATATGCCAGATAGAGTGCCAGAAAGAATGTCAGAAGATATGTCAGAAAGAATACCAGAATATATGCCAGATAGAGTGCCAGAAAGAATGTCAGAAGATATGCCAGATAGAATGCCAGAAAGAATGTCAGAAAGAATGTCAGAAGACATGCCAGATAGAGTTTCAGAAGATATGCCAGATAGAATGTCAGAAGATATGCCAGAAAGAATGTCAGAAGATATGTCAGATAGAATGTCAGAAGGTATGCCAGATAAAATGCCAGATAGAATGCCAGAAGGTATGCCAGATAGAATTTCAGATAGAATGCCAGTTGGTATGCCAGATAAAGTGCCAGAATGTTTGCCAGATAGAATGCCAGAAGATTTGCCAGATAGAATGCCAGATAGAATGTCAGAAGATATGCCAGAAGATATGCCAGAAGATATGCCAGATAGAGTGCCAGAAAGAATGTCAGAAGATATGCCAGATAGAATGCCAGAAAGAATGTCAGAAAGAATGTCAGAAGACATGCCAGAAGATATGCCAGATAAAATGCCAGAAGGTATGTCAGATAGAATGCCAGAAGGTTTGCCAGTAACAAAATGTATAAATGTCATGGTGGGGATAACTCGAAGTAAAGTAATTGATGGTTTCGTTATTTTCTTACAACAGCATGCATACAAGCTCCTATAGTCTATGTCTGTAGTTTTTGCGCAGTTTGCATGAAATATGTGTGCAATGTTATTACATGAAATGTTATATGCAAACTACAATACTAAAACCCAACAAACGCCAAGAGCCAAGTGAAGTGAACGGCCAAAACCAAAGCCAAGTGAAACCAAAACCAAGAAGCCATGAGCCATAAGTCATAAGCCAAGTGAAGCCAAAGCCAAAAGCCAAAAGCCAAAAGCCAAAAGCCAAAAGCCGAGTGGGCACGCAAATGGGAGATTCTAGTTCCAAAATGCATGCAAAACACAGATTTTAGCTCCAAAATGCAGCAAATAGCAAGGAAAGCTGCCCCAAGCTTAAAAACAAAAAATAAATCTTTAAAACAAAACAATTACTTTACTTCGTGTGATACCCACCATGACATTTATACATTTCGTTACTGGCAAATCTTCTGGCATTCTATCTGACATATTTTCTGGCATTCGATCTGGCATTCTATCTGGCATATCTTCTGGCATTCTACCTGGCATATCTTCTGGCAGATGTTCTGGCATATCTTCTGGCAGATGTTCTGGCATATCTTCTGGCATATCTTCTGGCATATGTTCTGGCATATCTTCTGGCATTCCCTCTGGCATTCTATCTGGCATATCTTATGGCATATTATCTGGCAAATCTTCTGGCATTCCATCTGGCATTCTATCTAGCATATCTTCTGGCATATTATCTGGCAAATCTGCTGGCATTCTATCTGGCAAACATTCTGGCACTTTATCTGGCATATCTTCTGGCATTCTAGCTGACATTCTATTTGGCATTCTATCTGGCATACCTTCTGGTATTCTATCTGGCATATCTTCTAACATTCTATCTGGCATATCTTCTGGCACTCTATGTGGCATATCTTTTGGCGTGGATACTCGCGGTTGAGGTCCGGCAGGGAACACTTGGCGTGGATGGTCGCGGTTGAGGTCCGGCGGGGAACACTGGGCGGGGATACTCGCGGTTGAGGTCCGGCAGGGAACACTGGGCGTGGATGGTCGTGGTTGAGGTCCGGCAGGGAACACTGGGCGTGGATACTCGCGGTTGAGGTCCGGCAGGGAACACTGGGCGTGGATGGTCGTGGTTGAGGTCCGGCAGGGAACACTGGGCGGGGATGGTCGTGGTTGAGGTCCGGCAGGGAACACTGGGCGTGGATGGTCGTGGTTGAGGTCCGACAGAGAACACTGTGCGTCGAGGGTCGCGGTTGAGCAGGAGGAGGAGGAGAGGAGAGGAGGAGAGGAGAGGAGAGGAGAGGAGGAGAGGAGGAGAGGAGGAGAGGAGGAGCAGGCAACTGACATAAAATCTAACAACCCTCACCTGGCAGGTGGGGAAAAAAAAACCCTCCGAAACAAAGCCCATGCATCAACCGCGCAGCTATTACAATGCGTTTGGCAGCACCACCGACGCATCCATGCAACAATTACAATGCGATTTGCTTCCACACGTTGCAGAACACCAAGGGAGAACCGATTCGATCCTGAAACGACCGCAACCGCACCCGCCGCACAGGAGGTACCTTGAAATCGCCGGCAGCAGCCACATTACATGGAAAAACACGAGGTTTGGTGCTCCGGCTTCCTCCCCAAAAAACAAAGCCATGCAACAATCATGCAGCTATTACAATGCATTTGGCAGCACCACCTATACACATCCATGCAGACATTACAATGCGATTTGCATCCACACGTTGCAGAACAGCAAGAGAGAACCGATTCGACCCCCGAAACGACCGCAGCCGCACCCGCCGCACAGAGGAGAACCCTTTCATCGCCGGCTGCAGCCACTTTACACGGAAAAACAAGGTTTGTGCTCCGGCTTCCTCCCCAAAAAACAAAGCCATGCAACAATCATGCAGCTATTACAATGCGTTTGGCAGCACCACCTACACATCCATGCAGCCATTAAGCCATTACATTGCGATTTGCACCCACGCGTTGCAAAACACCAAGGGAGAACCGATTCGACCCCGAAACGACCGCAGCCGCACCCGCCGCACAGAGGAGAACCCTTTCATTGCCGGCTGCAGCCACTTGACACGGAAAAACACAAGGTTTCGTGCTCCGGCTTCCTCCCCAAAACAAATCAAAGCCCATGCAAAAATCATGCAGCTATTACAATGCGTTTGGCAGCACCACCTACACATCCATGCAGACATTACAATGCGATTTGCATCCACGCGTTGCAGAACAGCAAGGGAGAACCAATTCGACCCCCAAAACGACCGCAGCCGCACCCGCCGCACACAGGAGGTACCTTTCATCGCCGGCTGCAGCCACTTGACACGGAAAAACACAACGTTTCGTGCTCCGGCTTCCTCCCCAAAACACACCCCATGCAACATGAATGCGGCCATTACAATGCGTTTTGCAGCACCACCTACATCCATGCAGACATTACAATGCGATTTGCATCCACACGTTGCAGAACACCAAGGGAGATCCGATTCGATCCCGAAAATCCCCGAAACGACCGCCGCCGCACTTGCCGCACTGCAGAGGAGAACCCTCATTGCCGGCTGCAGCCACTTTGCACGGAAAAACACAACGTTTCGTGCTCCGGCTTCCTCCCCAAAACAAAGCCCATGCAACAATCATGCAGCTATTACAATGCGTTTGGCAGCACCACCTACACATCCATGCAGCCATTACAATGCGATTTGCACCCACACGTTGCAAAACACCAAGGGAGAACCGATTCGACCCCGAAACAACCGCAGCCGCACCCGCCGCACAGAGGAGAAACCTTTCATCGCCGGCTGCAGCCACTTGACACGGAAAAACACAAGGTTTCGTGCTCCGGCTTCCTCCCCAAAACACACCCCATGCAACATGAATGCGGCCATTACAATGCGGTTTGCATCATCGCGTGTCTAACCCGCATGTCTCAACAGACATGGCAACAAAACATGACAGCAATCACGCAGCCAACTTCCCAGGTCTCCACTTCCCTTCGTCACCACTTCCCTAGGCACCACTTCCCTAGGTCGCCACTTCCCTTCGTCACCACTTCCCTAGGCACCAGTTTCCTAGGTCGCCACTTCCCTTGGTCACCACTTCCCTAGGCCACCACTTCCCTAGGTCACCATTTTCCTGGGTCAACACCCGGCCTTCATCAGATGTAAAGTCTCCCACCACCCTTCATTGGTAAAAGTAATCAGATGTAAAGTCTCACACCACCCTTCATCAGGTAAAAGTCATCAGATGTAAAGTCTCACTTCACCCTTCATCAGGTAAAAGTCATCAGATGTAAAGTCTCACACCACCCTTCATCAGGTAAAAGTCATCAGATGTAGGGTCTCACACCACCATTCATCAGGTAAAAGTCATCAGATGTAAAGTCTCACTTCACCCTTCATCAGGTAAAAGTCATCAGATGTAAAGTCTCACACCACCCTTCATCAGGTAAAAGTCATCAGATGTAGGGTCTCACACCACCATTCATCAGGTAAAAGTCATCAGATGTAAAGTCTCACTTCACCCTTCATCAGGTAAAAGTCATCAGATGTAAAGTCTCACACCACCCTTCATCAGGTAAAAGTCATCAGATGTAGTCTCACACCACCCTTCATCAGGTAAAAGTCATCAGATGTAGTCTCACACCACCCTTCATCAGGTAAAAGTCATCCGTTACTCGGAAGATTGCTTCCCAACTTCCTTTGATATATATATATATATATTTATATAATATTATATCATATATCATTATGTCATTATCAACATACAAGTCATAACTGTTGTGGTCACTATCATTGTGATATTCTATGGTTTTGTTGGCATTTATCATGATTATTACTACCACCAACCAACCAAAGACCAAAAAAAGGGGCCAGGGTTCAAGATCCACTGGCGGCCTCAAGAGAGTCTGCAGGCGGGCCGTGATCTTGTCGCGGGTACGCTTGCGGACACGTCGATCCACGACAGGGGGCGCGTGATTCAAATGACAGTAGGAACCTGAGCCACCAGTTGCACCAGTGGCAGCAGTAGGATCAACAATAATCCACTGACATGAGAACAACTGGGTTAATCATGACAATAACACATAATAGTGAGATTTGCCCTCTGGTAATCCAAGCTGGCAGCTGGCAATGAAAAATCCCCTGAGGTTTGGACAATTCATCTATAAATCGGGGATGTCCAATTGCTATGATTATTGGAGGGTAAGTTTCAATGGTCTGCTGTCTTAGAAAAATGAAAGAATTGTTTTGGACGTTTTGTCTTTGAATTCTTCATCGAAGAGGCTTGGAACTATTTTTGTGCGATCGAGTCAGAGGCGTTGAAGGGTGCTAACTGAAGGTCATGTATGTTCTGGCTCTGGGTTGCCCTTTGAACAGGTTTGCAACATGTTGCAACTATTTTGCTTCGATCAAGTCAACTGTGCAAAAAGACTTGTTGACACCTTTGAATGCTTACGATCCTTTCTGTGGGACTGGTTGCATGAGTGCCAGCCTCTCAAAAAAAATACGAGACCACAGACAAATTCGTTTGCAGACAGAACTTAAGGCCCAAGGGTAAGGGACGAAAGGTAGCTGGGAACGTAAAGGGAGAAGGAGGAAGGTGTGGTGAAAGAGGGGTCTGTGAGGAATTGGGAGATATGAAGCGGAGAGGAAGTCTGACGATGCTGATTGCGACGATATTGCGACGATGTCCCAGGGAGGGATTGAGCCAAGGCAAACTGCTTCCAAAAAACACGTGGCGGGGTCGAACTGTGAAGCATTGTGATTGGCGATTCAGTGCGCACCTGCAAATACCTAAAGAAAGAGGGCTTCAGCCAGCAGCCCAATAGGACCATGGACAAGGGGCTAGCTTCGTGCCCCTGCCTAGTAGAAAATGGTTGCCATCTACAATTTCTATCCCAAAAAAATAGAAGAAATATTTACACACAACACTTGGTCGATATGATTAAACGCAGGAACAAAATGGGAGCCCTTTGTGTTTGTCGTTTCAAGCAGGTGCCATTGTAAGATGAAACATTGTTAAGAGAAGTTTAGCTCGCAAACTCCCGAGTCACGGACAAATGCCAATGGGTAGCTGCTGAGCTCAAAAATTCAACATAATTCAACCACAGGTAGCATCACTTGGGAAATTGACACTGGAGGTAGTGGAAGCATCAAATCACAGTAACATCCACACGTGAAAGGGTGTGAAATAGTTTGAGGATTTTTTTTTGATCAGTTTTGTTTTTTTTTTGATTTCTTGGTTGCTACCATTTGCCTAGTGTTTGCAACGGTTTGAAACTTGAATTTGTCATTTTGCATGGTATTTGCCACATTTGGGCATGTTCACCTGCCATTTTGCATGGGATTTCCTACATGTGGGCATGTTCATCTTCCATTTTGCATGGGATTGGCCACATTTTGGCATGTTTACCTTCCATTTTGCATGGGATTTCCTACATGTGGGCGTGTTCACCTTCCATTTTGCATGGGATTGGCCACATTTGGGCATGTTCACCTTCCATTTTGCATGGGATTTCCTACATGTGGGCGTGTTCACCCTCCATTTTGCATGGGATTGGCCACATTTTGGCATGTTCACCTTCCATTTTGCATGGGGTTTGCTACATGTGGGCGTGTTCACCTTCCATTTCGTATGGGATTTGCATTGCATGTTCACCTTCCATTTTGCATGGGATTTTCTACATGTGAGCATGCTCACCACATCATCATGCCAACCCCAAGGGATTTGATACATTTTGGCATGGCCACCTTCACTACATCATCATGTCACCCCCAAGCTTTCAAGAGAAGGTTAGTTCGCAAAAATCCAAGTTGCGGAAGATGGCCATGGTTAGCATTCACACCATCATGTTCACCACATCATCATGCCAACCCCAACTAATGTATTTAGGAGCTTGGGTTTAAATATAAAAAAAGCGGAGGGGGGATTGGGGAGAGGGCGCGGAGAAGCAGGCAAAGCAGAATGAAAGCACCTCTTCTCACATGTAATGTTGCTAGTTTTCAAGAGAAGGTCGGTCATGTGATACTCGGGGATGCAAATACTGTGCAAAATGCATCTTACATGAAAAGTCATGTATTTTACAGGTGTAACAGCTTGGTGGCATTGTCATCCACCATTGTGGTGTTGTCACGGCAGGCATGGCAAAGACAGGCACGGGAAGCAGAAGTTAACACCCAGTTGCCACATACCGCCAACAATAGCAGCACACTCACCAGCCCCAACCTGGAGAAGCTTCGGCCCTGCCTCAGCCCGTCCATGTCGATGGGGTTACCTTGCGGGCTGGTTGGCGGGCCTTATCATCCACCATTGTGGCATTGTCACAGCAGGCATGGCAAAGACAGGCACGGGAAGCAGAAGTTAACACATACATAGTTACCACCTACCGCAAGCACGGGAAGCAGAAATTAACGCAGTGTTCACCTTGAAGACTTGGACCAGTTTGGCGATTGCAAGCATGACGAATGGGGAAGCAGAAGTTACCACCCTGAAGTGTAGCACTGTTGTGGAGTTGTGAGGGCAGGCACCCCCCAAAGCAGAATGCAAGCATCTCTTCTCACATGTAATCCTGTCAGCTTTCCAGAGAAGGTTAGTCCGCAAAAATGCAAGTTGCGGAAGATGGTCATGGTTAGCATTCACACCATCATGTTCACCACATCATCATGCCAACCCCAACTAATGTATTTACGAGCTTGGGTTTAAATATAAAAAAGCGGGAGGGGGGGATTGGGGGAGGGCGCGGAGAAGCAGGCAAAGCAAAAAAGAAGAAAAGCAAAAAAGCAGAGAAGCAAAGAAACGGGAAAAGCAGAAAAGCAAAACAGCAGAAAAGCAGAGAAGCAGAAAAGCAAAGAAGCAGGAAAAGCAGAAAAGCAGAGAAGCAGGAAAAGCAGGACAAGCAGAGAAGCAAAGAAACAGGAAAAGCAGAGAAGCAGAGAAGCAGGAGAAGCAGAAAAGCAAAAAAGCAGAGAAGCAGAGAAGCAGGAGAAGCAGAAAAGCAAAAAAGCAGAAAAGCAGAGAAGCAGAGAAGCAGGAAAAGCAGGAAAGCAGAAAAGCAGAAAAGCAGAGAAGCAGGAAAAGCAGGAACAGCAGGAACAGCAGAGAAGCAGGAAAAGCAGGACAAGCAGAGAAGCAAAGAAACAGGAAAAGCAGAGAAGCAGGAGAAGCAGGAGAAGCAGAAAAGCAAAAAAGCAAAAAAGCAGAGAAGCAGAGAAGCAGGAGAAGCAGAAAAGCAAAAAAGCAGAAAAGCAGAGAAGCAGGAAAAGCAGGAACAGCAGGAACAGCAGAGAAGCAGAGAAGCAGGAGAAGCAGAGAAGCAAAGAAACAGGAAAAGCAGAGAAGCAGGAGAAGCAGGAGAAGCAGAAAAGCAAAAAAGCAAAAAAGCAGAGAAGCAGGAAAAGCAGGAGAAGCAGAAAAGCAAAAAAGCAGAGAAGCAGAGAAGCAGGAGAAGCAGGAACAGCAGAGAAGCAGGCATCCAAAAAAAAATCCTAAAATAATTAGCCCCCCCACGTGAAAGAAGGATATGTCCGGCCGGAAGTGGACAAGAGACAAGAGCTCACTTTCAACACGGAAAACTGAAGGTCCAAGACTATCCGAGCCGGAAGAGGTCGGAGAAAAGCACACAAGAGTGCAGCCAGAGCTCGCTTGTGCTTAAAAAAAACGTTAAAGGGAACTGTGGCTCCGAGAGTAGCGTGGAAAAGTGGAACTGCTGCGCCATGGAATTTTAGATGTGATGCGATTCTCGTGCCATGCGGAAATGCAACTGCTGGTTGCCAAGCGCAGTGGAAACTGCGCGAAGAGCTCCAAAAAAGTACTTCAGAGAAGAAGTGGCTCAGAGATCTCAGAGAATATGTAAGTATTTCAGAGGAAACTTGACTGAGAGAGGTACTGTAATGCAGAGAAGAGGTAGCGCACAGAAGTAGATAACAGAAGAAGTAGTCTCAGAAAAAAATGAGCTCCCTCTAAGGAGAAGAGGGAAGAACATCGAGGAACGCTGGAAACATCTGGAAACTGTTAAATGGGAAAGAGGTAGCTCGGAGCTGCTGCAAGATCTGTGTAGAGAATCAGAGAGATGGCTAGAGAAGTTACCCAGAGAAATGAAGGTGCACTCATTGAGTCGTTAGTCATCACTCACCCATTCTTTCAGTGGCCAGTTCAGCCATTCAGGGCCATTAAACCATGTCAGCCATTCATTCAGTCATTCAATCCAACATTGATATCAATGAAACATTGTAGGCCACTTCCTGGCCCCCTACCTTTTAAATTTGAAATTCATCTCGAAACAACATTGTAACATGAAACATGATGAAACAGCTGAGGTACAATGATTCCCATGTCTGCAACCTCTCGTTGCGCCGTGGAAGACACATGGTTCGCACGTGCCGTTCACGTGTCGAAGAATGGCAGGATGGAGTTCACCACCACCGGGCGCGCGTGGCACCAGCTTCGCGCAAGGCTCGAGATTTGGGAAATCAGTGATCTCATCATCAGTGATCTCATCATCAGTGATCTCATCATCAGACATGAAGACGGAGTTGTTGAGATTCCTGGGAGGGTGAATCTGACTAGCATAAGACTAAGTTACGAAGACAGTTTCTTTCAGATCACAGAGACATAGATGTAGGATATGATAGGATGCATGGTGATCGCAACTAAGATATTTCCCCAAAATATATCAAGTACAGTACAAGGTGGCTTTTGAAACAGGTACTGTACGTCAAATGTATTCATATGTCCAATATTAGGGATCCCAGTATGGGACCCTGCTATTGAGCCAAGCTGCACCACCCAGTTGGTCGTAGATGAATCTGAAGATGTATGTGACACTGTGTCTTGTGTCTGCCCTAAGGCCAAATCTGATGAACCTGAACCTGCTGGTCTCTGGTTGCGCCCTGAAACCAACTCTGATGAAACCGACTCTGGTTCGTGCGTCTGCTGCAGGTCTGATGAAGCCGAGTCTGGTTCTTGCGTTTGCCCTGAAGACAAATCTGACGAACCTGAAAATCGGTAGGTCTGCCCTGGGACCAAGGCAGACGAGAAATCGTGTGTCTTCAGCAACTTACTGCGGCCGATCTTGCCAGGAAAAACGGCTCCTGTCTGCATCGCGGTCACTGAAGTTGCTCCGCGGTGCAACTGTTTTTATCTGACGTAGAACCTTCCCAAGTGCTTTCTTTGTGCTTAGTATCAACCGACACATGTCAAAATGCTCAAATAGCATTTTGAGGCAACAGATCACTTCAACACTGCTTTGCTCTTTGATATTTCCCTGCCAAACTTGGTTGGGTAGTAAACCAAAAAACATCAACAATGATCAACTATGCCCTACGGAGCTTGCGAAATGCTGCGGAGAGATCCAGGCATCCGGAATGGATCCGCGTCACTGTGACACAGCCATGCTGGTCCCAACAAATGTGGACATCAACAGATAGACATACAAATGCACACAAACATGTCGAACATACGTCAATGATAGTGGAAAATCACCATGATCAATATCCCTTTTTTTGGTTGCATGAGCATCCCGAAACATTCGAAAAACGCAGGTTTGCGGCCCGCCATTGGCAAAATTCCTGCCATTTATAGGTAGCTCAAAAAAAGTCTAGCGATGTATCAATAATAACAGTAATAGTGGTAACGGCTGAAGGAAGTTGGTTTAGAAGTCAAATTTCCGACAATATGGACAGATGGAAAAGCAGAAGAGAGAAGATGATAGAAGAGAAAGAGTCAGAAGAAAGAAGATGCAGATGCACGAAAAGGTAGGAAAGTCGCGAAACACTGTGTTTTTTCCAATGTTTTGTGGTTCCGGCGAGTCGAAAAGCCATCTGGGCAGATTGCACCGCATTGTGGCGAAAGGTTCGGAAAATGTTTGGAGGTTTCGGTGTCGAAAAGTGCACGCCTTTGTAGTACCGTTTGGACCACGTTGAGGCGTTGAAAAAGTGTACGGCGTTGTGGCGCGAAGCACATTTCCAAGTCAAAATGTGCAAGACACCACGGCTCCGGAGCATTTTTGGAAGTTGAGATGTTGCAAAAGTGCACGGAGTTGTGGCGCGAAACACATGATGAAGTAGAAATGCTAAAAATACTGCATGCTCGGGTAACTACTGACACTACACTAGGCTACGCTACACTAACCACACTACACGACAGTACACAACACTACAATACAATACACTACATTACACTACACTAATCACACTACACTACAACTGACTGCAACTACAACTGTACCTACACTACACTACACTAATTACATTACACTACAACTACAACTCCACTACACTAGACTACAACTACAACTACAACTAGTGCTCACTCCCACGCTTTTCTCGAAAGCTGCGCTGGAAGCAAATTTGTTCAAAGTGAAAATGAAACAGCGGCTGCTAAAAAGGGAAAGAGTGTGCCACGAATTAACCATTGGCCCCAGAAGACGATTAAGTTGTTGCGCCTTTTCCACCAAACCGCCAGGGACCAACAGAACGTGGGCACCCCCAAAACCAGATGGGCAAGACCCGAGCCACCTGCACCAACCTCCCCAGGGCCATACCCTTATCAGAAAAAGAAAGGTGCAACCTCCGTACCACCTACCCCAGCTCAGCGCTCAATAGCGCGATGGACATGGTAGCCAGGCTCAAGCCAAGGGTAGGACAGGTGGCAAAGACGGTAAGATTGAGCCCAGCCAAAGAGAAGGGGAGGAGAGGGAGGGTGAGTCAAGAGCAAGATTCAAAGTCAGGACGGCAAGAAATGGCCAGTTGCCTGAGCCGACGTTGCTTCGAGGGTGAAAGTGTGAGTTCACTGAGTTGAGCAACACCGTCTGAGATGTAAATCTTGGCTGTTTTAACAGCATTCCATCGGCCACGAACACAAACTGCCGCAATGTTGTTGGTTGTACGGTAGATATGGGTGGCCCCTCCCCGACGCACAGAGTACCAACGGTAGGGCACAACCAAGCCCAGTTGTTCCAAGGTATCTGCCAATCGTTTTCTCAGGAGGCCTGGGCTATGAGAAGAAAGACGGTCACCCGGTAGTCGTCCACGACAGAAGTTCCGGAGAAGAGTGACAACGAAGGGATCTGTGAGCAGCAAACTTTCTGTAGCTCCCATTCACTGACCACTTTTTGAAAGTGGAAGTGTCCATGTCCCAGACGCTTTGTCAAAAACGAAGTCAGCCACCTTAGCCTGAAACAACTCTCCAGCCCTGGCAAACGTATGAAATCCCAAAATCAATAGGACAGCCAAGTCAGTCCAACTGTTAGCCACAGCCTGTTGAGCAACTGCATAGAGAACCAGGGGAGTGAAGGGCGGTGCTCGGCACGGCAACTCCGAGCGGCTCCAAGCAGCGTGCAAACGCCAAGACCCTATTAGGTGAGGCTTACATGCAGGGATAAAATGTCCCAAGCCACTTAAGCAGTCACTAGCCCATCCTTGGGGATCGCCCTGCTCTCAGAGTTCCTCAATAAAAAGTGAAACTTCAAAATCCAACGACAGGAAAGTTCGAGGGTAAGGCTTTCCGTGGGACATAAGAAAAGTTAGAAAACGTGAAACATGACGAAAATAACGGTGCTCAGTCTTTTCAGAAACCAATTGATGACACAGCTTTCCCAACTCTTTTCGCTCTTGTTTGCGATCGGCCTGGGTACGTCTTGCCAGAACTTGCTTACGTCTGGCCATGGATCCTTTTCTTTCTGCCCTTCCAGCGTGAAGGGCCATCAGCCGGGCTGTAGTCGGACTTGACCCAGGCCAGCACCAGGCACAAGGAGCATGCGAGCAGGAGAGCTGCTGTACGTCTCAATGTGGGTTTCAAAAGGGAAGACGACGTTCTGCCTTTGGCAAGAATGTTGAGCACCGTTGTGTTGTCCACCATGAGCAAAATGCGTTTGAGGTGGTTGTCTTTGGACCGTCCCAGCTTCTTGAGGAGGTCAAGCACTGCGATAGCTTCGAGCTGGTTGATATGGCCTGACTGTTTCCAGCTGTAACTCATCAGGACTTTCCAGGCCCACAACGTTGGGTCCACTGAGCGGCGCGCAAAGTCGCTGGCGCAAAATGGGATTCCGCTCTCCATCTTGACATCGGAACCTCGGTGGGAGACTCCCCGCGAAAGGAGGTAAACAAGGAGCTGTTCGTCGCTCAGAGCTTTAGAGGGGTCGATGGCCGCGGCGGCAGCTGAAGCGCTGGCTGGCACCCTCCACCAAACGCGAACGAAGGTGAAAGGACCCTGCTCCAGCCCCTGCCAACGGACCAAACTTGACCGCCCAGCTCTGGCTCCGCAGCTGGGTAACGCGCTCCTCCAAAGAGCGCCAGACCTCCCAGAGCTCCTCTGTGATGTTCTTCTCAGCAAAATGCTTGTGCGGAATTGCCATCGCAGCCAGCAGACGGGCCACTACCAAGACCGGCCAAGTGTTGCCAGTGAGCTGTTGTTGCTGATCCTCACTGATTTTCTGTTTGATCTGAAAATGATCACTGTTGTAGCCTAACATCCGCAGCTGTTCAACTCCGAGCAATCTTCGGACGCCATGAGGAGAGCGAACCATGTTTTGGTCGCTGTACTGGTAAGGCGCAAGTCTCCAAGCATCACCTCTCCATCTGCCAAGGGTTTTGTCATTGCAGCGATCATACCCAGCAGCTTCCCGTGGCTCACTTGCTTTGGGATGCGGGCGTGCGAAGGTGAAGAAGGGCTCCTCCTTCTGTGTCAGCTTACTGCATCCTTCACGGAGAAACAGCTCCAAGGGTGGCTTCTTCACCGTGAATCTTGTCAGAGTGAGCTTTTTGGTGAGGGTTCCCACTTGCTGGTCACGGTACAGCACGAGGTCCTTGCCCTCTATGACCTCCAGTCCTTTGATCCAGAAGAGCCGGGGCCTGCGGCAGTGCAAGACTTCTGCCGCCTCCACAAAAATGGGGTCGCAGCCAATGGCCTCAGATTGAACGACGAGATCGGTCTCATCCATGACCACATTCTCGTAGAACTCAATGACCTGCCAGTCAGGTAGCTTCAGTGCACGGCTGCTGGTCTTCAAATCCTCCGCAATTCTCAGGAGGTCGTCCAGCAACCGCGAAGGGGCCGCCGCTGCTCCTTGGCGATTCTTGTTCAAAGAGGAGTGGTTCACACAAGGCCAGCCTCCCCCCAGCACAACTTCAGCAGCACGAGGGAAGAGCCTCCGCCAGTCCAGAATCATCTTTTTGTCAACCTTCTTGATGTCATCGACCGTGATGACAAAGGCACAATGCTTCTTTGCCAGCTTTATGCACATTGGGTCCGAGTCGATGAAAATGATCCCCAGGGGCATGACTCCGAGCAATTACGTTGAACGCCGAAGCCCTCCAATGCCGCCAAAAGCCTCAATCAGCACCACAGGATCAGCTTGTCCTCCTTCATAATCAAACGACTCGCAGCACCCCATGTGGCACTTGGCACGCCCGCGCGCCGTCAAACCAATGGTACTACAAGCACCTCCACCTTCTTCGGAAGCATCTGTGGCGTAGGCAACCGGGGAGAATTGAAGCCGTTGGTCCATCCAGTGCTGAGGCAGCATCCCTGTCACCATCATCAGGTCATCCACCGCGGAGAGAGGCATGGTTTTTATTGACGCCCCAGAGTTCATTGCCTTGTAGACCTCGTCAAAGCATGAGGCAAGTGGCCGGCAGTATTGCACTGAGTGCATGTGTTTTCCCACCAGCGACAGCAGGTCGCGAGACTCACATCTGACGGTCGAAGCGTTCCCAAGAAGCTCCAAACTGGCACCCAGGAGCGCTCTCCGAAACTTGCGTGCACTGCCGACCACGCCCTCAGCACCAAGTTGCTCGGCACCCAAGCTTTGCCATTGAAGTGTTCCCTCTGCAGATTTCTTGGGGTCAGTGCCTACCCCCCAGCATTTGAAAACCTCCCTCAGCTGCAACTGTTGATCACTAGGTCGTCCCTCATAGGATCCCACCTCATTTGCGGCGACGACTTTGAAGCCATCAAAGTTGTCCACGTAGAAGCTGTAATAGTCCCGGGGTGTGCGGAGCTCCAACAGCGGTGAAGGCTCGCCCATGCGCACCACTTGGCGAGCAAGGGTTCCCATTCTCTCCAGAGAAGACTGCACGAAATCAACGATGTTTGACCAGCCCATTGGGGCAGATTTCACTCTGGGTCGTCATGGTGTCTTGTTGCCGTCCTTGAAGCATGTGCCAGAGGCCTTCTTGGAGATCACAAAGTATCCCCGCCAGGAAGGGCCCAGGGCAAAAATGTGGAAGCAGTGCTTTATGTCCTCGCCATAAGCTAGGATAACCTCATCTTCCAGCAGGCACATTTGCCCCCATAGAGGCGCCCACGACATCTTTTCCGAAGGGCGAAGTGGCAGCCTTCTCTGCACTGTGTTGGAAGGAATGAGGTTCACGATGAGCCGCAAGGTGCGTAATGGCTTTCCCCGGCCAGAGACAACCCACGCCTTATGGCCTTATGGACCCCGAAGAGACCATTAAGCACTGGCTGTCCCCGGACCGTGAGAGTTTCTGCCTCAACCTCGCGCTCCATCATCCCTGACTCAACCAGATGACTGATGATCCGATCATATTCAAAGTTGTTCTCAACCAGCACTGGTGCTGCTGGTGGGGGCTCACGGAGCTCATCATCCGGAATTCGCACCAGCTCAGGGTCAATCACATAGGGTCTCAGGGCTGGATCAACTGTGTCAGCCAACTCGATCCTGCCTGCCTCTCCGGGCCCTGGGACGTGTGGTGCTATGCTGGCCCAGGTCAACTTGTAGGCTTTGCGAACCTCCTGTCCCGTGTACATGTCACCAAGATCTTGTGACTGTTTTTCCCACCTCAAGCTCCTCGGTCGTATCTTCAAGCCACAACTTCATCAACTTCCTCAACCGATCGATGGCACCTTTTTGTTCTGTTGTGGGTTCAGCCGGGTGCGGCATCACTCGCCCCAGAGGTCGCGCGCCGCCACAGTACAAATAGTCGAGCAAAAGGATCTATATCCAAAGCCATGCCGACTCTCCACAGACTTGTGCCTCCTCCAAAAGGGGCTGAAGGTCAGCTGGAGGTGGCTCATTCCGGGTGAACATACCGTTGAGCTTCTTCATGAGGGCCTTTTCTTCCAGGGTATCTTGGGGAAGCCTGATCGGCAGAAGGTCAATGGGCGACTGTCTGAAATGTTTCCGAGCGCAGCAGGGCAGCAAACGTGCGAACGTTCCCAAATGCCCAGGGCGGGCCCTCAATACCATCTTGAGCACCACGCCGCAAAAGGAGACAGTCACCTTGCCCTTCACAAAGTGCCTCAAAAACTTCTCACTGGTTGTGGTCGACCAGATATCACCGTGGCCCTCTATTCCAAATCTGTCCACCAGGTCACGCCCCAGTTGGAGTTCATCCTTCAGAAGATAGAGTCGCCTCCCGTCTAGGGCCTGTCCCACCAGCTGGGGCTCCAACGAGTCCTGGTAGTTCTCCTGGGAAATTGAGCACGTCAAGGCACCAGCGCCTTTTCCCACGTAGACGCCTCCATCAGCGCCAGTCCACTCTTCTGTCCACTCATGAAACTCGCAGTTCTTATACTTGTCCAGTATGACACCAGCCCCCTGAGGATCAACGTCACCATGGTGATGGGGCGGTTCTGGCGCCTCTGCGGGCTCGCAACCAGGAATCATGGCGGGCACCTCATCCAGCCAGAATACCCCCAACTACTGCCAGGGGGGGGGTGGGTTTTTCATAATAGACCCCAAAATCCAAGGGTCTGAAATCATGTGCTCCCAGCGTAGCCGTAACTTTTAGATAATGATCCTAGACCCCCCCCTGGGTATTCCAAATAGGGGTCTAGGATCATGTGGAACAGGGTTATCATATGTTATCATGATGCTGACAAGTGCGGGTAGGTTAAGAATAGACCCCCCAAAAAAAACGGGCCCGAAAAGATTTCAGACCCCATGTTTGGTGATCGATTTGTTTTCAGTGACCTTACAATGTCAGACCCCCTTTCTGGGACAACCAATCTTAGACCCCAAAGGTGAAAATTCCAAATTTGACAAATCCTTGATTTACCGTTAATCCATCTCAGACCCCATCTAGGGGGTATAACGATTTCAGACCCCACATAATGGACCAACAGGGCACATCATAGCACAACATGTTTTTTTTCTGCGTCGCCTTGTCTTGTGGTCTTGTCTTGGAACTTTGCTCACCCAAAGCAATGTTCTGATTTTATCTACTTTGAGATCACACAGATCCTAATTATATCAAAAAACATACGAAAACAATCAAAAACGTAGGGAACCCGTTAAATTTTACATCAAGTTACGTGAGATAACGCAGTAGGGTCTAATATCTTTTTTGTAAACACCCCCTTTTGCGTTTTTGATTTTAGACCCCAAATGTGGGAGGAAGTTTGGGGGGGGGTGGAATGATTCCAGACCCCAAAAAGGGGTCTAGGGTGAAACCACCCCCTCAAATGGTCAAAAATGAGATTGATCAAATTAGACCTAAACGGTGGGGGGTCTGGAATCATCAGTTTTGGGGTCTATTATGATTATGGGAGGTATGATAAAAACCTATGTTGAGGGGTCTGAGATCATCAGGGGGTTGGGGTCTAACATGAAAAAATACCATTCTAGACCCCCCCCTCGGGAGAGCCCTGGGTATACCATTTCAAACCCTTTAGTAGTTGGGGGTATCAGCCAGAGAGGCTTGAAGTGCTGTTGAACGGCTTGGAACTTCTCAGCCTCTGTACGTCCCAGTCCATCAATCAACACACTGGCAAATTCAGTCTCTGCCGCCTTCTGACATCTTCGCCAACATAGCTCTCGATCACAACTTTGAACAGTTCCTGCATCTTGGGGAGTTGGAAGGCTGCCAGGAGCTCCTCACGATCACCTGACTCAATGCCCTCTGAATGAACTGCTCGTTCAAGCACTTCTAGCCGCAACGGAGGTAGGTCACTCACCATCGATACCCTCCTTTCTTGCCCCCCTTTCTTGCCTTTTCCTTTGCCTTTCCTCGGTTCCCTCTGAGCATTGTCGGGGAGTTTGTCTCCTCCGCCGCCTTCTTTCACGTCCCCGGTCTTTGGAGCGTCCCCTGTCCCGGGCGCCTCGTATCTCCAGGGTCTCGACCATCTCCTCTGGCCTGCTCCCTGTTGCAGGGCCAAGTCCGCTTTCACCTCTTGCTGAGCTGCTTTGACTTCCTGTCGGAATGTCGCCAATTGATCCTCCGACATCACGAGCTCCAATTGCGAGGCCTGATGCCAGTTGCCCTGGATGTGGGAGAGCTCGATGGCCTTTAGTCTCTGAATCATCACATCGAGGCTTCTCAGTGGATCGTTCCGGCAAATCAGATCTATGCAACGCGCTAAAGTTCGCAGCTCCTTGCTTGACCGGAGCCCCACCATGCTCGGTGGATGCTGCTGGAAAAATACCTGCGTCAGGTAACCCACTGCCACGGCAGGGAGCATCGCTGTCTCCTCCTCCTGGAATGCCGTTCCCCTTCCCTGAGCGTTCATCAGAAGCTCTTGCAATCTCTGAAGACTTCGGGACGCTATGCGACCTGGGTGCCTCTGATGAACACGTCTCAGTCGCTCCATGCCTTTTGGAAGGGCGGCTCCTCGAAAAACTTGATCGTCACTTGATGTTGAGGAGGTCGACACACTGCTGCTTTCCTGGCCCTTTTCTTCTCTCTTCTTCTGTTTCTTCTTCTTCTGCTTCAACTTCTTTTCCTTCTTTTCCAAGTTCCCCAAGTCCAGGGCAGATAGACGAGGTTCCTTGGGGCGCCTTCCCTGCAGCTCATCGAGGAGATCACCCGACTGAGCTCGTCTCTTTGGGCGGTCACGTTCGTCTCCTCGCTCACGACGTCCTGGCCCCTGGCCCCGCTCATCAGCAGCCTCCATCCTTTCTGCCTTTTGAGCTCTTAAGGCGCCCAGGCGAGCTTGGTTCTCTAGGTCCCCAGCACCAGGAGTAGCGGCAACAGCACCAGCACCAGGGCCGGCACCATCGCCTGCACCCCCCGCACCAGGAGAGCCGGGCCCATCGAACCGGGACCGATGGACATCAGTGAGCCATCCAAGGGTGGCAGTGTCCTCAAGAGACAGCACCCGGAAGACGTCAACGTGTAGGGGATTGCGATAGCGGGTCTGCCCTTGGCAGCTTGCAATTGGGACCTCACAGAAGTGGACTGGTGTCAGTAGTCTCACATCATATTCTCCAAACGTCTGGTTGTGCCAGTACTCAAAGTACTCGTCCTCAATGGCAAGAACATGGACCTGAGCCGCCATTCCACGTTCTCGGCTGTGACATGGCTCTGTCTCAGCCAGGCAACCTAGGATCCTCCCTTGTTGCCGGTTTCGATCGTTGTAGCCGACGAATTCAATGTAAGCTCCAACTTCCAGTCCCTCAAAGTGCCTTGCATTGGCTTTTCTCCCAGTCTTTCGCCATGTAGGCAAAGGCATTGCGCCTTAAGGCAGCCTCACCCCCTTTTCAGCACACCCCACTCCAGGAGGCCAATGGACTTAAAGAAACCAGGCAACACAAGTCACCCAGCTTCCAGCCACTGACCTCCCCGAGGAGGCAACTGTCAGGAGGGTGGTCGGCCACCCCTCGTGTTACTTGTAAGCCCGAAAGCTGCGAGAAAAGGAGTTAGAGGTCAATCGCACTATTGAACAGAACATCTGCTGACTACAACTACAACTACAACTACAACTACAACTACAACTACAACTACAACTACAACTACAACTACAACTACAACTACAACTGCGCTACGCCACATACACCAGCAGTTGTGATTGAGGTGACCACTGCAACCAATCAAAAACCACCTTTCGGTCCATTTGTGGATTCGCTCTGCCATCCGTGATTCACAACAACCAACCTCTCCTATAGGTTTCCTATTTTTGAAACCTCCGCCACCGCCTTGTGCGGTACTACTGGTAAAAATAATGATATATCAAGTTGGAATGAGACCAACAAAAGTTGGGGGGTGAAAGAACAAAAAAATGGTAAAATCAACAAGGTGTGGGTAAACTCAACAAGGGTTGGGGATAGAGGTGATGTAAGCGAGAAAACACAATAATGTAGACTCCCTAAATTTACATTCAGCCTCGTTAGGGTCCCACGCATAAAATTGTTATTCCATATGGGCATTGTTTTCGTTCTATCTTGAATTTTGTGGGGTGTACACTACCCTCCGAATAAACAAACATGGCTTGCTGGAAAATCCACCATTTAGTTCAGGATTTTCCATGGCATCGGAGGGTATATCCCATTATTATCGGAATTATGATGCCATTGTATCCATCCAATTATGTCCCTATAGGTCCCTATTCTGGTTGGTTAAACCTCTATTTCAGCAAAGTATCCCATTAAGCTATTGTTGTTGTGGGCTAAACCTCCATATTATCCCATGATATCCCTATAAAATCTGGGATTCTGGGTTGCTAAAATCTCGGATCGGTATTTTGGGATCCGCACACCCGGGCAGGGTCTAGAGGCACGAAGGATCAAAGACCTGGAATCGGCCGTGAATCGGTGGACCGTGCCGGGTGGGGTCCGGTTCGGGTAGATAAAAATATAAACGGCGGGGATTTAACCGATGAAGAAAAATAGTTCAGTATGGTCATGATGTTTGTAGTTTGTGTATATATATATATATTCTATTCTATTCTATTATATTATATTATTTTACATCATATTATATTATATTGTATTGTATTATATTATATTATATATATATCATATTATATATATATATTATGTCATATTATATTGATCAGGCTATGGGTCATGGCAGGTACCCTTCTCCTCACCCCGCAGCTGAGATCTATGGATGTTCATTCCTGGAAATAGGGTATTGATGGGTGTTGTAGGTTTTGAAATGGTTTTGACTCATTCCCAAATTCTCGCCATCTTTTTTTCGGGACTCCGAAACAGAATGGCGGGTTCTAATTCAAGGTCTTGTAGGTTAGCTTGGTGCTCCGGTGTTTTGATTTTGGTTCAGTCTGTTCCTGCTAACGCAAAAAAAATGAGAGGCCCACTGAATTGCTGAAGACAACGGTACTGATGACACATGAATACGTGGCTATGGATCAAGACTCTGGTGCCGTTTTGCTCACACCGAAATAGTTGGGCTTGATGGGTTCAGCCCCTCAAAATATGCTTCGAGAGATTTTGATTCATCGCCACATATCTGCCAACCCCTTGTACCAGCACAGTGACATCTGCAAGTTTTGCTTACGAAATCCACATTCTTTGGATGGTCAAATCCCCATGTGTGTTGGCTAAATCTACAGCGTTGTTGGTGGAATCCTTGGTTTTCTTGTGCAGATCTAGAATTTTCATGAACTTTCTTTGGATGTCTGGTCCCATCTAGCCAGGTTTCCGCACGCAGAGGGCATATTGACCTCACCCTCGAAGCGGAGTACACACACTCGCCTCCGAAGGCGGAAATCGGAAAGGTCTGAGCCATGATCAAGTGGAACACGGGATGAATGGACTAGAATCTAGAACAAACATCAGATGCAAACTGGGGAGTTAACTTTTAACAATCAATATCTTTGTTTAAGGATATATGCATATAGGCGGGATATAATGGGAATTTATGGGATATGATAATGGGATGAATGCATGTACTTGGATGTTTAAGACTAAGATGATGCATGGAACTTGATCCAGAGGGGATTATGCCATCTTACTGGGCAAATGCCCATTGAATCTTCAGTATTGCTGGGAAAACCACGACTAAAATATACTAATTTGAAATCCTATTCTATAGATATTAAATCCACAACTCGTTGGTGGTTGAGTCACCTCCCAAAAAAATACAATTACAATCATGGGGGGTCATCCTCCCAGATTGATCCATTTTGATGCTCGAAAATCAAAACAATATCGCTGAAACCATCAAGCAGTCCAGTGGGGCCCCTGGTCCAGCACCAAATTCATGGGATTCCATAATTCATGGCCAAACCCTCAGCGAAATCTGCATGGGCTCAGGATTGCTAACTACCCTACCTACCCAAAGCGTGTGATTCACTAATCTATCAGTATGCCTGATATTTTTGTATCCAAAAATTGGGGGTTGATCCTCAGTTCTGTGTGACAAACTTCTGACGGTCCCACATTACCTGGGTCGCAGGAAAGGTTCCAGCAACTGGAGCCTCAGGGTGAACCGCCAGCTGGGGGGAGCCCAGTTCTCTTGGATGCTCTTGAGGTTACCCATGGTCCTCAGAAAATCATCTAGACATGTGAAGATGCTCATAGCTGTTCGAGTACTATGTTTGTTTATCAAGGGATATACTTGGATCTTCCTGAGGCTTTAAGTACGCATGATATCCCAGTGACCTAAGCCTGTTAGGGGATCCTGACTCTGGTCAGCTATCTCTAATTCCTGCTTTCTGAGGTAACATGAAACTGGATTGGTGATGTTGTTTTTGACCAGTGACTAGCTGGGATGAACGAGTGTGAAGACACTAAGCCTTAAGAAGGTATAGCCTTGTGGCTCACACATATACCAGCCGATATTCCCTACCACCACCGTGTTTCTAATTGTTCTACTGAACTGTGAACCCCTCAGAATTTCCCAGCACTTGTTGCACGTATGGTTTTGACTTTCATCTCATGGTTCGAACCTCACCGTCCTGACTAAAATTAACAGTTGCGAGTAAAGACACAGTCGGGATAAATCCAAATGAATGATGAACAAGAAGATCAACTCAACTCATTTGATTAAATCGTTCGCCTTGGATCTCAATGGAATTGAAAGTGCATGTATCGCTGAGCTTTAGAAACTTCTTGGTGCCAACCAATCAGAAATCTGGCTGTTTCAACCCCGCGCAAAAATTCAATCTATTTTTATCTATTTTCGGATGGTTATCATTGGTGTTAAATATATGTACAATATGTATTTATATACATATACATAATTATCAAATATTATGCTCCATGGTCAAAACATGCTATATGACTATATATATATGAGTTCTGGTCATCCATCCCACATTGGGAATCCTTGGGGTATACAGATCGCTATGCATTGAAAAGGACTGTGCAATTTCGCGAAGTTTTGACCATGGCACAATAGTTGAAACTGCAAAGCAAAGTCCCAGGCGCATGTCCCACCCCAAACTTGTGACAGTTTCATCCAAGATATCCGCTTTTTTCAGGGCGTCTGCCACAAGAAGCTCTGGAGTGAATCGGGTTTGCGAAAAACGATGCTACCAGTAAACCACATCCATGGCTATCCTGAGATTGTATCTGTAGCTGAGTAATGTTTTCCTGCATTTGGGTCGCGAATGATTGACCGTGGAGAATATCTTCACCGACAGTCTTGCACTGCAACGTCTGTGATTACACAAGTTTGAATTGATGTGATCGGATTCAACCGTTGATCGCTCCAAACCAATTCAACTGTCTTGGGCACACAGGCCCAAAGAGCATGGATGCTGGAAAGTGGAAGCTGAAGCATGGCAGCTTTCGTCACAAAATAGACCGCCTCCTACAATGACAGACCACTGGCTATCAATTTCACACGTCTTGCCTTGCAGTGATGGGTGCCAATCCCACTGATAAATTGGGTGTCAAACACCAATAAGTCAATAAGTGGGAATAAGCCTTCGGAATAAGCAGCAGTTGACTAGTTGTGATATCATATTTTGTCAAGCGATATGCAGTTCACAGAATACTACACGTCCGCAGCAGCAACCCCTCAGCTTGGTTCCTATTTCAGTTTTGGGGTCAAAAGCTTCCAGCGTTCCCTGTCTTGTGATATAATATAATATAATGGGACCAAATTTATAAGTAGGAACAGGGCCCATCCTTGTAAGTGAGGTTCTTGCACATGTGCTCACATGAGCTAGTTTTCACGCATGAGTCTCATTGATTTCATGGATGTCCGTGATGAATATTCACGGTTGAGGATTTCGATTGAGTTAATGACGGATGTCATGATGCGCTTCACCGTGATCCTTTATGTCTTATAATACGTCGCAAAAAAGAACTCCAGAAACGACATGTGTATATATATATACATATCATTATATTTCTGTGAAACATGTCCTATTCACTTGTTACAAAAACATCATCTCAAAAAAAAATGATCATCAACTTTCAGATCATCCACTCTCTGTGATGGCCAAACATCGCTGTTTGGATGCCGCAATGTCCAGCACGCGCACATCGCCGCCACCGAAAACCTCGAAGGGCACCCTTTGGGGCCGCGGCACCAGCGGGTCCCTGGCGTCCCTGGAGTCGGCGTCCGCGTCGCTCGGCAGTGCCAGGCAGCCACTCAAGGGACGACCCCAGGAGTACAACCTGGGCAGATGGGAATCTGTCTGGGAATAGAAGTGGGGTATTTTTACGGATTTTTTGACAAATAAAATAAATAAAGAAATTATGGGATAGTTCCGGAGAGTATTTGAGTATTTCTCAATTCATATCATGAGGATAACCAACAATATCCAGGATACTGTTGGATATTAATGGATTGATGGGATTTAACGGAATATATAACATATATAACTATCAATTTGATAGTTGGGTCTGTCTTACAATTGGAGATATAAGATTGCCATTTTGTGCTGCGAAAAATCTGATTAAGATTAACCAGTGGATGGAATGGGGGGTTCCATTCCAAATTTGAGACAAATCCAGATGGGGATGGGATTAATATAGATCTACCCGCTGGTAATCAAACATGACAAGCCGGAAAATCCATGAAAATCCTGTATAGGTGGGTGCTCTATAAAGAGAAAATCGTCGAACTAAATGGGAGATTTTCGGGCAAACCATGTTGTCATCTTTTCTTGAAAAATCATTGTGCAAATCTACAGCACACCAGGTATACTTTGTTTTCCAAAGTTGAGATTGAATTTAAGCATGTCTGCTTCGTGATGACCATTTCTTCAAGCTGCATCGTGTTGGTCGTTCCAATGTGAATCCTGAAATTCAAAGACGCAACTGAGTGACCTTGTGACTTCCTCTTTGATTATCTTTCACGTATAGCTCCCATGGGATGTTTAAGACTAAAGACTCCCTTCCAAGTGCTATCCCATTGGTCTGAATGTTTTATCGTTTCCCAAAATAACGAACTGTACGTAGTCTCAAGGGAATCTTCCTCAAATTTTCTGCACTCCTCCCCAGTCTCTGTTGGCCAGGTAACTCTCCACTTAGTGTCAAGGCGAAGGAATAGCCTTCGCCTGTGAGTCGCAAGAATCTGCTGGGGTGACCCTGCAACTTGACCCATATGTACAGTAGCTCAAGACATCACATACTCAAGTTGAAATGTAAATTAGACCCCAAATGATAAAGTCGGGCAAGGGGGGTATGGTTTATTGTTGAGTTTACCACATTGACCCAAGAAATAGATGTGGGTGTTGTGGATGTAGATAGAGCTGTACATGTTGCACAAATAATTTGATGCTGGAACAAAAACATGAGGGCACAGACTCTGCATCCCAAATCTCAAGATATCGAGGCAAAAACATGTACTGTAGTTCTTGAACGAAACCATCCAACAAACGCTAACCTATGTATGCACATCATGCACAAATGTAAACACACATCATATGAACAAAATACCTAAAAGCTGTCCATCTACACACATTCTACCTTTCTCCATTCACATCTTCATGAAGTCGGTGCAACTCCAAGGAGGGATAGACCATAGCTTACCACCGACTGTTTTTATTGTTCCCATGACCTTGGACCACGAAAACACCCAAAAAAGTCGTCAATGGATCCCTACAACTGATATGCACTACCAGCCACTACCAAGAAAACGACACATGGCAATTGTGGATGTTCTATGATATTCGAAGTCCAGCATTTTCGGAATCCAGGCTTTCCAGTGGGATTGTTTCAGAACCTGAACATGGCCATATAGCAATCTATGGGTAACAAAACAATCCTACAGTCTAGACACCCCTGAAAAGATTGAAAAGTTATACAACGTGTATACAACTATTATCGAAGGAAGTTTAGAAGTCAAACTTCCGACAATATGGACAGATGAAAAGCAGAGTAGGGAAGAGGCAGAGAGAAGAGAAAGATTAGAAGAAAGAAGAGTAGAAGAGAAAGAGTCAGAAGAAAGAAGACGCAGATGTGCGAAAAGGTAGGAAAGTCGCGAAACACTGTGTTTTTCCAATGGTTTGTGGCTCCGGAGGGTCGAAAAGTAGGCTCGCTAAAGCGGCGGGTGCGGAGCCAGCTGGCCAGACGAGAGATGAAAAATTGCACGCCGTTGTGGCGCGAATCACATTTCCAAGTCAAAATGTACAAAACACACCATTGTCGGACCACTTTTGGAAGTTGAGATGTCGAAAAAGTGCACGCCGTTGTGGCACGAAGCACATTTCGAAGTCAAAATGTACAAAACACCTCAGCATCGGACCACTTTTGGAAGTTGAGATGTCGAAAAAGTGCACGCCGTTGTGGCGCGAAGCACATTTCCAAGTCAAAATGTACAAAACACACCATGATCGGACCACTTTTGGAAGTTGAGATGTCGAAAAAGTGCACGCCGTTGTGGCGCGAAGCACATTTGGAAGTCAAAATGTTTTGGCGGTTCAGATGTCGAAAAAGTGCATGCCGTTGTGGCGCGAAGCACATTTTGAAGTCAAAATGTTAAAAACACCAGGGTTCGGAGGTTCAGATGTCGAAAAAGTGCATGCCGTTGTGGCGCGAAGCACATTTCGAAGTCAAAACGTTAAAAACACCAGGGGTTCGGATCACTTTTGGAGGTTCAAACGTCGCTTCGCTTCACTACACTACACTACATTACACTACACTACACTCCACTACACTACACTACATTACACTACACTACACTCCACAACACTACGACTACAACTACACAACTACACTCCACTACACTTACACTACACTCTCCACTACACTACTTACACTCCACTACACTCCACTACACTCCGCTTTACACTACATTCCTACACTACACTATAACACTCCACTACACTACAACTACAACTACACAACTACACTCCACTACACTTACACTACACTCACTACACTACACTACATTACACTACACTACACTCCACTACACTACACTACATTACACTACACTACACTCCACAACACTACGACTACAACTACACAACTACACTCCACTACACTAAATTACACTACACTACACTACACTCCACTACACTCCACTACTAAATTACACTACACTACATTACACTACACTACATTCCACTACACTCCGCTACACTACACTACATTACACCACACTACATTACACTGAATGACACTGCACCACAGATAGACAGGTAGACAGATAGACAGACAGACAGACAGACAGACAGACAGATAGATAGATAGATAGGTAGATAGGTAGGTAGGTAGGTAGATAGTCAGAGAAAGAGAGAGAAAGAGAGGAGACCTCAAGCACCTTTTGGTCCATCAGTGGCTTCGCTCTGCCATCCCTGATTCGCAACAACCAACCTCTCCTATAGGTTTGCTATTTTTGAAACTTCCGCCACCGCCTTGTGCGGTACTACTGGTACCTTCGTATAGGATTCTGCAAAAAGTCTATCAGGACTTACTTGCAAGAGTTGGGAGAATCTTTTGAAAAAGTCGCCGAGTCGCCAGCGGCCACCTTCCAGACACCTTTCAAGCCTTCCTGGTACCGACTCGGCAAGGTGATGGCCGTGGGCTCGAAGTTCCTGTAGAGCCAGGCTGCTGCCAGAGTGGTGCCACTGGTGCTGCTCAAAATCTTCGAAGGTGTGAACCACAATTCTTGCTTCTGAAACTTGATCAAAGTGAGAAAACTAATAATTACAATAGATGAAGAGATTCGCGGATTGTCATGTCATGGTTTTAGCCATGAATTTGCGTTGGGAGAAGCTATGACAAAGGAAACTTTCCAACACTCTAAAAAGGCCAAGAGACAAAATGGATTAACGTGGCCTTTCCAGATGCCTTTCCCTTACAGTGACACTGAGATCGAGATGTTTGATGATGTTTGAACCTCCTCAACCCTCATCCCTTATGAAATCAACAGAGAATTCCTTGGCCTGGACTCCATTAAAAGACCAACTCGATGTGCCTTCGATCGCCCCACTCGTAGATGGCACCCGCCGTGGTCACCGCCACCATGTGTCGGTCACCGCAGGCGAAATCCCGGAAGACATGGCCCTCCATGGGGAGCTGGCGCATGAGGAAGGGATACTTCATGCCTGAGTCCAGTTTGTTGTAACCGTTGTAATCCACACATTTTTTTGGTGGTTGAGCCATGTTGAGCCACCCTGAAAACAGGAAGGTCATGAGGGATCATCATCCAATTGTGTTGAAACAAACGAAAGTACCAACCAGAAAACATACCAAAGCCCTCTCTGAAGGCTGGGGGTTGATGAGGGCTATGACGGCTGGGTATCAAATCAGCTGTTATAAAAGGGACCCCAAATCGATGAGTAGAAAGGAAAACCCCCAAGATCCGAGGGGTTTCATCATTTCCATTTACAATGAAGGCTAGTTAGGCTAGTTTGAGCGTCCGCAAAAACCTAATGTCATCCCTTGATGCTCCCAGTTGCAGAAGTCTCGATCCTTCATGACCTCAAATCCTGAGCCGCTGGGCTGCATTTATCGCCAAGTTCTGGAGATGGTGCGATCCAAACTTACCGTATGCTGCTGGGTGAATAGCCACTGGTGACTCAAAGTGTGGAACGGGATTTCAATGGTTTTCATGACCCCTTTCGATCCCAACTGAAGCATGTGAAGTGTGAAGGAACTGTCAAAACACACTGTGGTATTTCTAGTCATGGTCCTGCAACAATGCATGAACTTCCTGGAGCAAGGATCACAAGACTTTTCTAACTAAATTGCCCCAAATCAGGGTCACATGAACTCACCAAGATACCCATGCCCAGCTGACCTTGGATGAAAGGCTCCAACATGGGGAAAACATGGGACAACTCTCAAAAATCAATGGTTTTCCTTCCAAAAGGCACTGGTTTTGGTTCAATCCATATTTTGGTTTCGAAAAACGATCATAGATTTCTAGAAACCAAATGCAGCAAATGTTCAACGGGAATTGTTTGGATGTTCTATCGTCGGACATAGTGGTACTGATCGGATGACCTGTCTAATCACATCTTTGATTGTACATTGGTTGGTCAAATCTGTTTCAAGCGCAATCCATGGCAATCCTATGTACAATATTATATATATATACATACGGCTAGCGAACATTTCACCCACTATGAATAAGCGTTGCAATGCATTTCAATGTGCCACAGCGAGTTGCTATGCGTCAAACATTGCTTTAGCGAGTTTCATCACATCCATCTGGGTCAAAAGAAGTTGCAAATATCACCTCCCCCAATAGAAACATGGTTGGATCCCTGTCCTCACTATGACTTGTTGACAAAGTGGCCGTAATCATTGCGCCCCCAGACCCAGAGTTCACCATGCGACGACCTTGATTTCTTGGCCGAGTGCAGGGTATTCAACCAAAGGTGACTCCCTCAATAGTGGATCATCAATAAGCCCTTATTAGTGGCTATTGGTGGTTGAAAGTTCTTGATAAAGCCTTTGTTGTTGAGGTAATTTTTGGGGGGTGGTTGAATCCTGGTGACAAGGATCAATTCGATTTCTTCCCATCTTCTGAGGCACATGCTGAGCTGTCCCGTCCACGGATCCGATGGTTCTTCAATCAAGATGGTTTCATTATGTTTCAATGTCTGTTGCGCAAGGATCCCGTTTCTCCTCTTTTCAATTCAAGTTCCATGTGTCCTTCCTTTTTCGGTATCACGTTAATGTGGTTATGATTCAAAATGCTGTACCCCTAATAAACATCAAAATAGTTGGGATCTATGGATGTTCATCCCCCAAATATTGATCCATAACCATATTTTGTAGGTGGTGAACCACCCCCATGAAAAATATTTTTGTCAGTTGGGATCATCGTCCCAAATAATGGGATGATTATGGGATGATTCATGCGATCATTATAGGATGATTGATCCACAGCCTATTTTCAAAAAATGATTTTAGTTTGTGTGAACCCCACCCTGGCATATATCCTGATTTGTTGCAGGCAAACCCCTCAGTTTGCCCGCGCCGACGAGGGCGACATGTCCGAACATCAAAAAACACTGTATTTTGTGGGACAAAATGCACATGTGCATGATCATGGTTTTCATCTTGCAACGCACAGCTTAGACAGCTGTGCGTTGAATGTTACAACTACAACTACAACAACAACAACAACAGCAACAGCAACAGCAACAGCAACAGCAACAACAACAACGACAACATCATCATCATCATCATCATCATCATCATCAACATCATCAACATCATCATCATCATCAGCAGCAGCAACATCACCACCATCATCATCATCATCATCGTCATCATCATCATCATTATTATATTCCAAATTCCCTTGTTGATCTTCCCAATTGAATGTAAAGTTTAACGGGGCTGGGAATTTATATTCCTAATCCCCTTGTTGATCTTCCCAATTGAATGTAAAATGTAACCGGGGTGGGAATTTATATTCCTAATCCCCTTGTTGATCTTCCCATTGGAATGTAAAGTTCAACGTGGGTGGGAATTTATGTTCCTAATCCCCCTGTTGATCTTCTCAACTGAATGTAAAATGTAACGGGGCTGGGAATTTATATTCCTAATCCCCTTGTTGATCTTCCCATTTGAATGTAAAGTTCAACGGGGGTTGGAATTTATACCTCCTAATCCCCTTGTTGATCTTCCCAATTGAATGTAAAATGTAACGGGGGTGGGAATTTATAGTCCTAATCCCTTGCTGATCTTCCCAATTGAATGTAAAGTTTAACCGGGGTCGGAATTTATATTCCTTCAAAATCCCTAAGAAGTTGTGTGGGCGACCTGGGGGGTTTGCGCGTATTGTTACATTCTATTTGATAGATATGCTGACATACTATCTGACATCTTCTCTGATATTCTATATGACGTTTTATCTGGTTTCATACCTGATGTTCTACCTGACGCATATTCTGACGCTTGACTTGAAATTCTATCTGTCATTCATTTGCGACATATTCTGACATTTTATCTGGCATTCTAGCTGGCATTCCTATCTGCCATATTTTCTGGAATTCTATCTGACATATTATTCTGACATTCTCGCTGGCATTCTACTTTCTGCTCAGGTCCAGGCACCCTGCGCTTGCAATAGGGTTCGGGTCCACGCGTGCTCCACTGCATCTGGAGCTTGACTGCATCCTGCCCTTGCTCGGGAGGAGCAGAAAAAGCAGGAGGAAGAGAAGGAGGGAAGAAGGAAGAGGAAAGAGTTGCACCTTTGTTAAAATCTAGAGACCCTCACTTGGCAGGTGGAACTATACCCCTAATGAACATGCATGAAAATAATGGGATTTATGGACGTTCCCCCCAAAAAATAACGTAGAAACGATAGCCATAGCCGAAATCTTGGGTGTGCCGTATCCTAATTTTTTTGGACCCCTACCCCCATGGCATCCCCGTCGAGCCACATGGCAGCCGAGAACTCCCTCCCCGCATCCAGCTTGATGATCTGCGGTTCGAGGCCCGGCGCCATGATGGAGTCGGTGGTCTTGCGAAAGTACACCACCTGGCACATGTGCGCGCGCCCCACGGCAAGCACGGCGGACCACCGATTAGGATTGGGAGTAAAAAAAAACAGATTGCGAAGTGATGAACTGCGGGCACTTCAGTTCAAATACTATGGGGACTTGATCAAACAACATAAGCTCTGGGAGATTTCATCCGATATTGTTATGCGGCAGAAGCAGGTGATTTGGACGACCATTCTTCGTTGAGGAAAAGGACCTAAAGGGAGTTAGGATGGCATCTTAGCCTACGTTAGCCATCTTTAGCCACTTATTGTGTAATCTGATCTCAGATCTGATATACATTCTGAGAAAAGAACTAATTGTTACCATCCAAGTGACTGCCAAGTTGCATTGATCTACAAATTGCCTTATTTCTTGTGGTTCCTGGGCGTCCCATCTTCACATAATTTTTGGCTGGTTTAAGCTCAACTTGGTGGCATCTCGCCAACACTGGATTCACCTTATTCTTGCCGCCCTTTTCAACCCTCCAAGTTGTAGATTTAACTTTTCCATGTTCGTGTTATGGCCCTTTTAGCTTCAGATCCTCTCCGAACTGGTGAATTGTCCATTTTCACACAACATGCACCTGCGTAAACATTGCATATATTTATGCCAATGTTTGCGGTTTTTCAAGCCTTCCAAGCGTCATGTTCCACTCATCCATTGCTGGATCCCTGGGGCCTCCTGGAAGTCCAGTTCTTCCCCGGTTGAGGCCAACCCTCCACGGCCCAGCACACCATGGATGCCCTGCCCGGTGCTATGGACGCGGCCCTGGCGGTCCAGGACCAAAGTGTGGAGGTCACCACCTAGGATTCACCGGAAAATCACAACGGATCTTCCTGGGAAAAGTATAATCTGGTAAACCCAATAAACCATCTCCAAAATCATCATAAATGATTGGAAACTATCATCCCCAAAGGTAGATTTACTGCTGGGTTTCTCACATTAGAGATTTCACAAGGAAAAAACTATGATCCAATGATTCAACCAAGAAAAAACATATTTTAGCAGGCAGAACAATGGATTCAGCCACAGGGTTCCATTGTCTGGACCGACACTTGTATCTCCCCTTTTCAGATGTTTTCGGAATGAGTTGATCGTCATACTTCGAAGCCTTTTGTGAAGGTTGGACATGGTGATTGTGCGTTGTTTAATGTGCATATATTCCTTCAGAATTCATGAGAAGGTCACCCAAATGGTGATGTTCCAGCTAGCCATGCGTATTTTTGTTGCTTACATGTTTCTTGTTGACAGAAGTGAATTATATAAGGAAAAAAACATCGGATCACAGAGTGTCAAAATAGAAAGTTCATGAAATTCAAAAATGTTGAAGACATTGGGTTTTGGTAGTTCAGTATTGTTGGGGGAACAACCCTGAGTCGCAGGACAAAAATTGGAGGGTTTGATGACAATGGTCCAAGGAGGGACTAAACATCATCAAAACAAAAATGGCTGGGATCTGGTCGAAACTCTGGCGCGGGATGATCCATGAACATACAACTTGGTTGAATGGTCATGGTTAGAAACTGATTCATTTTTTCAATATTTAAAAAAAAACGTTGAAATAACAAAAGGAACACTGAAAAATATTCCGTATTCGCCCTCCGTCCTTAGATTTCTATAGTTTTATGTGGAAATGCGGTTGGTTCCCATGATGGGTGGCCTCCATCCGACTTGTTCTTCACCAAGGCACAAGCGACCTGGGACACTTCGATACCTGCATAGCAACCGACGTCTGCTCAACCCGAGACCATCAAACATTCGGACTGAACAAATGTAGTTAATTGTCAGTATGTTCTCAATGATCAGTTTGAGTTTCAATTTCCGATTCCAACTGCTGTGTGATGGAGCCCTTTGCTGTTCCCAAGTTATCTAGTTATCTAAATTGGATCAAAACCGCGATTTCATTGGCAAAATCAACGTGACAAGTAACCCTTAAACCAAGATAAAAGGTTCAATCAATTTGGATCAGTGTTTGAATGTTGGGAAAAACAATGATGACACCACCATCCAGAAGTCACTGGTTGTTGATACGTGTGTACACATCTAGGTACACACACAATGTCATATTGGACATGTGCACATATATGCATCAAATAATCATACCAAAACAACACCATCTTAATCATAATCATGAAAAAATATATACGGTAGAAAAAACAAATGAAACAGAACAAACAACCACAATGTATTGTCATCAACAACAATGTATTGTCATCTACAACAAGTTGTTCTTGGTAACAAAACAGATTACTATACAACAACATGACAATAACGAAATAATACGATATATTATATATATAACACAGCTCGCTATATACTTGGAGGGTCATTCTACCTCATCACTAGTTAATACCCCTGGTGAGTAAGTACCCTTTTCGGGGGTTATCCCATACACGAATATGATTTGAAATGCATGAAAAACTATGGTTTTTATCCACCTGCAATTCGTCGGATGATCCCCCAAGTACTAAGAAATGGCAGCCCCCAAGAAGAAAGAAGCTGGTAAAAAAAAAAACACTGACAGCATAATAAATCACAACATATTGTATATACCTTAGGTATATGTATATGGACTGCGGTCCCTTCACACCCTACCATGCAGCCGAATCTTGGAAACATATACCAGTAGTAACGCACAAGTCGGTGGCGGAAGTTTCAAAAATAGGAAACCTATAGGAGAGGTTGGTTGTTGTGAATCACGGATGGCAGAGCGAATCCACTGATGGACCGACAGGTGGTTGGAGTTGTGCTTTTTGGAGCGGTTGCAATGGTTGCAGCGGTCACCTTACCACATCTGCTGGATGCTCTGTGGTGTAGCGCCGTTGCAGTTGTAGTTGCAGTTGTAGTTGCAGTTGTAGCTGTAGTTGTAGTGTAGTGTAATGTGGAGCTGTAGTTGTAATGTAATGTAACTAGTGTAGCTGCAAGCGCAGTTGCAGTTGTAGCCGTGGTGTGGTGTAATTAGTGTAGTGTAGTGCAGTGTACTGTCGTGTAGTGTTGCGTAGTGTGGTGTGGTATAGTGTAGTGTAGTCTAGTGTAAGGTAGTGTGGTTGTAGTTGTAGCGTAGTGCAGTGTACTGTAGTGTAGTGTAATGTAGTGGTTGTTGTAGTTGTAGTTGTAGTTGCAGCTGCAGTTGTAGTTGTAGCGTAATGCAATCTAATCAGTGTAGTGTAGTGTTGTGTAATGTAGTGTGATTGTAGTTGTAGTTGTAGTTGTATTTGTAGCTGTAGTGTGCTGCAGTGTAATTAGCGTAGTGTAGTATAGTTGTAATTGTAGCTGTAGTTGTGGTGGTAGTAGTAGTAGTAGTAGTCGTCGTTGTTGTTGTTGTTGCTGTTGTCGTTGTTGTTGTTGCTGTTGTTGTTGTTGCTGTTAGTGTATTTGGTGTCGTGTAGTGTAATTCGATGTAAGTAGTGTAGTGTAATGTAATTAGTGTAGTGTAATGTAGCGTAGTATATTTGTATATGTAGCTGTAGCAGTAGTGTTGTGTAGTGTAGTGGTAGTTGTAGTTACAGTTGTAATCGTCTGTCTATCTATCTATCTATCGATCGATCTATCTATCTATCTATCTGTTTGTCTGCCTGTCTGTCTGTCTAACTGTAAGATTGAAAACGAAGCAATTCTGCGAGACCTCCTCATTTTTTGAAGTTGACCACATCAAAAACGAAGCAAGTCTGCGAGACTTCCTCATTTTTCAAAGTTGACAACATCACAAACAAAGCACTTCTGCGAGACTTCTTCAATTTTTCAACTTGACAACATCAAAAACAAAGCAATTCTGCGAGACTAGAAAGTTGAGTGCAGAGCTAACAGCTTCGTACCAATGCGTTTTGCGATTTTTCCTGTCCACCTGTCGAAAGTACTGCGCCTGCCACGAAAAAGTGATGCCAAGTCATACGAAGTGCTGCACCTATCACGCAAAATCATCTCAGCAAACCTGAAGATGTGATGCTCCAAAATGCAACCCCTCTCAGGAAATCAGCGCCCTGACCTCCTAACATCTCTGATGAACATGTCTTTTGTACTGCGCCTGCCACGCGAAATGCATCTTTGAAGATCCTCTTCAAATGTCCCACGCCTGCCATCGCTTTTCGAAATGCTACAAAACCCTCGCGTTTTGCTCACTTTTGACGCACATCCGAACGTCCACAAGTGCTCCGTACCCGTCAGTTTTTTGCACTTTTGACTTCAAAATCTGCTTCGCGCCACAACGGCATGCACTTTTTCGACATCTCAACTTCCAAAAGTGGTCCGGAGCCGGTGTTTTGTACATTTTGACTTCAAAATGTGCTTCGCGCCACAACGGCGTGCACTTTTTCGACATCTCAACTTCCAAAAGTGGTCCGGTGCTCGTGTGCTTTGTACATTTTGACTTCGAAATGTGCTTCGCGCCACAACGGCGTGCAGCTTTTCGACATCGCAACTTCCAAAAGTGGTCCGATCCCACCAACTCACCTCTTGTACAGGTTTTCTATCTTTGAAACTTCCGCCACCGCCTTCTGCGTAACTATGTCATGTATCATTATCAAAGCATATTGATTTCACCAAATTTCTAGATGTGTACTGAATGCCGCTAATGGAATGAATATGTTGAAATCCGCCGACCCCTGCCTATAGCCTTGGCCTAGGCGGGGCGGCGCCGCGGATCACCGTAGGTGTGCGGCATGGCCCTGTGCCGGCTTTGGCTTCGAAGGCTCGGAACCTTTCCAAGTTCCTCTAGCAGCTTTCGAAGGCCTCAGAACCTCACAACCTTCCGCAGCAGCTTTCGAAGGCGTCCCACTTGCTTTGCCATGGTACCTCCCTAGGCCCCACAAGCTGTTTCTATTGGGCTTCGAAACTGCCACGTGGAACGTTTTGGGCAGGCCTTCAAACACTCAAAACCTCCGCAGCAGCTTTCCAAGGCCTCAGCACCTCACAACCCTCCGCAGCAGCTTTCGGCCATGGTACCTCCGTAGGCCCCACAAGCTGTTTCTATTGGGCTTCGAAACTGGTACGTGGCACGTTTTGGGCAAGCCTTAAAACCCTCAAAACCTCCGCAGCTTTCGAAGGCCTCAGAACCTCACAACCCTCCGCAGCAGCTTTCGGTCATGGTACCTCCTAGGCCCCACAAGCTGTTTCTATTGGGCTTCGAAACTGCTACGTGGCACGTTTTGGGCAGGCCTTAAAACCCTCAAAACCTCCGCAGCAGCTTTCGAAGGCCTCAGAACCTCACAACCCTCCGCAGCAGCTTTCGGCCATGGTACCTCCCTAGGCAGCTATTGGGCTTCGAAACTGCCATGGACGTTTTGGGCAAGCCTTAAAACCCTCAAAACCTCCGCAGCAGCTTTCGAAGGCCTCAGAACCTCACAACCCTCCGCAGCAGCTTTCACAGGCGTCCCACTTGCTTTGCCATGATGGTACATCCCTAGGCCCCACAAGCTGTTTCTATTGGGCTTCGAAACTGCTACCTGGCACGTTTTGGGCAAGCCTTAAAACCCTCAAAACCTCCGCAGCAGCTTTCGAAGGCCTCAGAACCTCACAACCCTCCGCAACAGCTTTCACAGGCGTCCCACTTGCTTTGCCATGGTACATCCCTAGGCCCCACAAGCTGTTTCTATTGGGCTTCGAAACTGCCATGTGGCAAGTTTTCGGCAGGCCTTCAAACTTTCAAAATCTCCGCAGCAGCTTTCGAAGGCCTCAGCACCTCACAACCCTCCGCAACAGCATTCGGCCATGGTACCTCCCTAGGCCCCACAAGCTGTTTCTATTGGGCTTCGAAACTGCTACGTGGCACGTTTTGGGCAGGCCTGAAAACCCTCAAAACCTCCGCAGCAGCTTTCGAAGGCCTCAGCACCTCACAACCCTCCGCAGCAGCTTTCGCAGGCGTCCCGCTTGCTTTGGCCATGGTACCTCCCTAGGCGCCACAAAGTGTTTCTATTGGGCTTCGAAACTGCCACGTGGCACGTTTTGGGCAAGCCTTAAAACTCTCAAAACCTCCGCAGCAACTTTCCAAGGCCCTTAAAACCCTCAAAACCTCCGCAGCAGCTTTCGAAGGCTTCACTTGCTTTGCGATGGTACCTCCCTAGGCGCCACGTTTTGGGCAGGCCTTAAAACCCTCAAAACCTCCGCAGCAGCTTTCGAAGGCCTCAGAACCTCACAACCCTCCGCAGCAGCTTTCGGCCATGGTACCTCCCTAGGCCCCACAAGCTGTTTCTATTGGGCTTCGAAACTGCTACGTGGCACGTTTTGGGCAGGCCTTAAAACCCTCAAAACCTCCGCAGCAGCTTTCGAAGGCCTCAGAACCTCACAACCCTCCGCAGCAGCTTTCGGCCATGGACGTTTTGGGCAAGCCTTAAAACCCTCAAAACCTCCGCAGCAGCTTTCGAAGGCTTCAGAACCTCACAACCCTCCGCAGCAACTTTCACAGGCGTCCCACTTGCTTTGGCATGGTACCTCCCTATTGGGCTTCGAAACTGCCACGTGGCACGTTTTCGGCAAGCCTTAAAACCTTCAAAACCTCCGCAGCAGCTTTCGAAGGCCTCAGAACCTCACAATCCTCCGCAGCAGCTTTCGGCCATGGTACCTCCCTAAGCCCCACAAGCTGTTTCTATTGGGCTTCGAAACTGGTACGTGGCACGTTTTGGGCAGGCCTTAAAACCCTCAAAACCTCCGCAGCAGCTTTCGAAGGCCTCAGAACCTCACAACCCTCCGCAGCAGCTTTCGGCCATGGTACCTCCCTAGGCCCCACAAGCTGTTTCTATTGACTTCGAAACTGCTACCTGGCACGTTTCGGGCAGGCCTTAAAACCCTCAAAACCTCCGCAGCAGCTTTCGAAGGCCTCAGAACCTCACAACCCTCCGCAGCAGCTTTCACAGGCGTCCCACTTGCTTTGCCATGGTACCTCCCTAGGCGCCACAAGCTGTTTCTATTGGGCTTCGAAACTGCCACGTGGCACGTTTTCGGCAGGCCTTAAAACCTTCACAACCTCCGCAGCAGCTTTCGAAGGCCTCAGAATCTCACAACCCTCCGCAACAGCATTCGGCCATGGTACCTCCCTAGGCCCCACAAGCTGTTTCTATTGGGCTTCGAAACTGCCATGTGGCAAGTTTTCGGCAGGCCTTAAAACCCTCAAAACCTCCGCAGCAGCTTTCGAAGGCCTCAGAACCTCACAACCATCCGCAGCAGCTTTCACAGGCGTCCCACTTGCTTTGCCATGGTACATCCCTAGGCCCCACAAGCTGTTTCTATTGGGCTTCGAAACTGCCATGTGTGGGCCGTTTTGACCGTTCCCCGCCGCTCCGCCCTTGAAAGGGGGTCGGCGGCACCTGGGCGTTAGCCCATTTATTATGTTAGGAATAATATGGTTTACCGTAATACTTAGCACCACATCCACCATTCCATGCCCCGCATGTCGCCGCGCCTTGCGACACGAAGGGCATCACCATCTCAGGCCTTGAGACCTCGCCACGCCGGCCTTGCCCGCAGCCGCCGGCGCCATGCCACAGGCTACCACCGTAGCCTTGGAGAAGCACAACGGCAACTGAGGAAAACACGGGGAATTCACCTGCAAAAATATGGAAACATGGTGGTTTCACGAGAAAAAAAAAAGGACCGGATAACCCCGCAAGGCAACTCTTCCAATAATGAGCACCAAATGTTGTAGCGGGGACAAAGACAGATGATGCGTGTGTGTGTGTGACAAAGTTGTGTGTGAAAGATGGTGTGTGACAAAGTGGTGTGTGAAAGATGGTGTGGCGAAAGATGGTGTGTGATAAAGTGGTGTGTCAAAGATCGCGTGTGACAAAGTTGTGTGTGTGAAAGATGGTGTGTCAAAGATGGTGGGTGACAAAGTGGTGTGTGAAAGATGGTGTGTGAAAGATGGTGTGTGACAATGATGGTGTGTGACAAAGTTGTGTGTGAAAGATGGTGTGGTGGAAGATGGTGTGTGACAAAGTGGTGTGTGAAAGATGGTGTGTGAAAGATGGTCTGTGACAAAGTTGTGTGTGAACGATGGTGTGTGAAAGATGGTCTGTGACAAAGTTGTGTGTGAAAGATGGTGTGTGAAAGATGATCTGTGACAAAGTCATGTGAGTGAGATGGTGTGAGAAGGTGTGTGAAAGAGGGTGTGTCAAAGGTAGTGTGTGACAAAGTTGTGTGACTGAGATGATGCGAGAAAGATGGTGTGTGACAAAGTTGTGTGTGAGAAAGATGGTGTGACAAAGTTGCGTGAGTGAGATGGTATGTGAAAGATGGTGTTGTGAGAAAGATGGTGTGTGACAAAGTCGTGTGAGTGAGATGGTGTGTGACAGATGGTGTGTGACAAAGTTGTGTGAGTGAGTTGGTGTGAGAGAAAGATGGTATATGACAAAGTTGCCGCCCCTGCCACGCCAAACGCAGGTAAATGTCTCCAAGTGCCACGCCTGCCACGCCTGCCACGCCAAACGAAGGTGGATGTCACCAAGTGCAACGCCTGCCACGCAAAGTGGCACGGCGCCCCGGGCGACCAGTGGCGACCAAGCGCACCACCAAGTGCAACAAGTGCCACACTTGCCACCCCAAACGCAGGTAAATGTCTCCAAGTGCCACCCCTGCCACGCCAAACAAAGGTGGATGTCACCAAGTGCCACGCCTGCCGCGCAAAGTGGCGCGGCGCCCCGGGCGACCAACGGCGACCAAGCGCGCCACCAAGTGCAACAAGTGCCAAGCCTGCCACGCCAAACGCAAGTAAATGTCTCCAAGTGCCACGCCTGCCACGTGAAACAAAAGTGGATGTCACCAAGTGCCACTTCTGCCACGTGAAACGAAGGTGGATGTCACCAAGTGCCACGCCTGCCACGCAAAGTGGCGCGGCGCCCCGGACGACCAATGGCGACCAAGCGAGCCACCAAGTACAACAAGTGCCACGCCTGCCACGCCAAACGCAAATAAATGTCTCCAAGTGCCATGCTTGCCGCGCGAAACGAAAGTGGATGTCACCAAGTGCCACGCCTGCCACGCAAAACGAAGGTGTGTGAAAGATGGTGTGTCAAAGATGATGTGTAAAAGATGGTGTGTGACAAAGTTGTGTGTGTTTGTGAAAGATGGTGTGTCAAAGATGGTGTTTGAAAGATGGTGTGTGTGACAGTGGTGTGTGAAAGATGGTGGGTGACAAAGTGGTGTGTCAAAGATGGTGTGTGACAAAGTTGTGTGTGAAAGATGGTGTGTGACAAGATGGTGGGTGAGAAAGTGGCGTGTGAAAGTTGGTGTGTGACAAAGTGGTGTGTCGAAGATAGTGTGTGACAAGATGGTGGAGGTGGAGGCGGCGGAGGAGGCGGCGGAGGAGGAGGCGGGATATAGAATCAAAAACAAGAACCTCACACAAAGATGTGGGGAACTGAAAAAATGATGATTTACTTGGGAAAAATGCGGATTTCATCAGCAAGGACGAAGTTATTTATCCATCTAAACTTGGGAAACATGTGCACTTCATCAATATAAAACTTGGAAGACATGAGGATTTACAGCAGCAAAAAGTTGGCATGTTTGATGGAATACTTTCAGAGCTTTAGAAAAAAAACAGCAGGCCCAAAAATCTTGGAGGAATATCCTGATGTTCCTTTACTAGGAAGAATGCCCTCCCACCACCAGTCTGCAGATCCTTGGAAACTAGTCCAGCCAAATAGATTAACATCAGCTTTGGGGTGCGTGAATCGGTTTGCTTTCCCCATTAAAGATAAACAGGTTGAGTAAATCTCTGATGATTGGGAATCTCCATCCAAACAATGTTGATTTTGATGCCCGAGTCTAATGGGGAATCCATGATAATCTTCACCATCCCGGCTTTGTGCTTTATAAGCTGGGGTATACCCCTAATAATGGGGTGAATTACAGTAGCCCTCTATTGTGGTTGCTGAATTGAACATCTACCCCCAAAATGGTTGCAAACAACAACAACAACAACAACAACAACAACAACAACAACAACAACAACAACAACACCAACAACACCAAACACCAAACACCAAACACCAAACACCAAACGCCAAACACCAAACACCAACAACCAACAACCAACAACCAACAACAAACAACCAACAACAAACAACAAACAACAAACAACAAACAACAAACAGCAAACAACAACAACAAACAACAAACAACAAACACCACAACAACAACAACAACAACCACAACCACAACCACAACCACCACAACCACAACCACAACCACAACAACCACAACAACAACAAAAGAACAAAAAAAAAACATCTTCCAAACCCCATGCACTTGTGGCTTCATGTTGGATGATGTTGGACGTAGAGGATCTACCATTATGGTTCCGACATTTCTCATGAAACATCATGAAACTTGATGAGATTCAGCGATCTTTTCTGCCATGGTACCCCAGGTCCAAAGGACACCACCCTCCGTGATGGCCGCGGAATGATTTCCGCCTTGATGGTGGGGGGAAGGGACAATGCTGACCTATGCAAGATGGCCCACATCCTGTTTGTTTTTTTAATATATAAGTATACAATCTCATCATAAATTGATACCCTCTGGTCATTATACATGGCAATGGTCCTATTTATATATAAATGATTTTCCCAGCTATAAACCTCCATATGTATGGGAAAAATTCCATTGTCACGTTTGATTACCGGATGGCATCTGCTAGACCCATCCAACTGTAGGTACATCGACGACCATAAATCGCTTCTATCAATCTTGATGATTACATTCCCAACAGTTTTGGTTTTCGGGGGTGCCCTCCAAACTGGCGATCAACCACCGTCAAAGCCGAATGAATGCACCTTGCTTTTGTGAATTCAATCTGCATCTGTCCGAATGAACTCGACATCCCTACTTGTTCTTACCCAAAATGGGTCCGATGTATGTCCAATGTCTGGGGGGTTCCAATAGGTCCAAACGAAGCCCGGAGCCTAAAGCAATGGAGGCCACAGCAGGTCGGTGCCCATCTGAAGCTTCCACGAGCACAGGCTGAGGCGACCTTTCGGAACCGTCGCTGTCAGCTCGACCCAACTTGCTGTGGCGATTGGAGCCGTAGCTGTACCTGGGTTGGGCTCATGGCAACCAAGGACTGGTATAAAGAAAAAACGGAAAAGAAAACATGGGATGAAGCAGGAAAAATCGTGATACAACCAACTTTCAAAGGGATGACCGGTTATCAATTCCTACAACCTTCCACTTCTGTGACAACCAATGGATCAATTGATCCAAGCACTGGGATAATCCAAGAAGATGCGCGATGATTGGCTAAACGCCAATCCAGCTGAGTGACTGCGAACAAGAGTCAAAAAGATGGGCGTGCATGGTGAACATGTACGATTAGACTATCTGTAAATGCGTCTGCATAATCAGGTGTGTATCCGGTGCATCCCCGCTCTTCTGGCACGCTGCAGTGTACATCCCTACCATCGCGCTGCATCACACTCCTGCGATCCTTGCTTCATTCCTAGTCAATACTTCTTTGCTACCTTTGAATACGTTTTCCTCCGTTGTTGTTGTTGTTTCAGCTAGTTTAGTTTAAGGGAAAATCTACCACAAGCCATGGTTTTGTTTTTTTGCCGTAACATGTCCCTTCAACCAATGCTGGGACTGTTGATATCGGGATGCATCAAAACCTATTATATTATAGTTTGGCAAGATGGATATCCACAAATCCCAGTTATTTTGGGGCTCACCAGGGTACCAAGGTGCCATGACCCATACGGTAAAGTTTCCTCCTTTGGCCAAAAGACAGCTGGCCATCAACAACGAAGGCAGAGTGCGTCGGGCCACAGGCAATCGCCGAGGCATTGACACCTGGTCACACCGTAACGGTGGAGAGAAATGATTGAAAATTACCATCTATTGTTGTTGGTTGAGTCATATTTGTAGATTGGGCGTATATACATACAACTAAATAATCAAAAGAAGTTCCGGTAGAAAACTTGCGAGTTACGGGCGATTGTCATGGTCAGCATTTCCATCATCATGTCAACCACATCATCACGTCAACCATCCATCATCAAGTATTCAGGAATTGCTATGGTTCGGGAGCGCTTGAATGCATGGGTGAAACCACTTTTGAGCGTAACTGAGAGAAGGGGTGCCTCAGCAAAGAGGTCGCTCAGTGAAGAATTACACCAACAAAGAAGAAAAGTAGCTCACTCATCCGTCCATCCATCCATCCACCCATCAATCAGTTCATTCATTCGTTCATTTGTTCATTTGCTGAATCGTTGATTCATTGATTCCTTGGTTCATTGGTTCAATGATTCATTGCTTCACTGATTCGTTGATTCGATGATTGATCCACTGGTTCATTGATTCATTGGTTCATTGGTTCAATAGTTCATTGGATTCAATGAGTCATTGATCGGTTGATTGCTGATTCATTGACTCATTGGTTCATTGACTTGTTGATTCATTGACTTTTTGATTCACTGATTCATTGACTCACTGATTCAGTGGTTCACTGAATCATTGATTCAATGGTTGATCCACTGGTTCATTGCTTCATTGATCCACTGATTCATCGATTCATTGGTTGATTGATTCGTTGACTCATTGATTCATTGACTTGTTGATTCATTGATTATTTGATTCATTGATTCATTGGTTCGTCGACCCACTACTTAACTCATTCGTATTGATTCATTGGCTGGTTGCTTCATTGATTCACTGATTCCTTGGTTCATTGATTGGTAGTTTCATCGTCTGATTCATCGCTTCCTTCCTTCATCGATTCGCTGATTCATCGATTCATTGGTTCATTGATTCATTCCGTCAGTTGAGCATGGATTTGTTCATGCCATTCATTGGCATCTCAACCACCATGTGCTCATTCGCTGATGCACCTCACAACAACTTCGTTGCTTCTGCATCTCAAAAATCTTCCTATAGGTCATCTTCTTCCTATAGTGGTTTCATGTTTCGAAACTTCCACCCCGGCGCGGGCCGGGCACTACCTGGTACTAAATATATGTCTCTATATGTTGGGCCCTATTCGGTAGATTAAACTGATTCAGATTCAGCGCTAGCGATCAACAAAAGGTGCTTCGCGCAACAAAATCAGATTCCTCATCAACCAACACACGCGGGTAAATCATCAACCATAATCATTCACCGGGTATATTCTCTGGTTAACTAAGCTGGTAACCTTCCCATTCTTAGAAAATCATCTATAAATTGAGGACGTTCAGTTACCAAGTTTGTCGAAGGTAAATCATAGTCTTACCTGTGGATCATCCCATCGTTGGTGCACTGTTGTATTCTCACTGTTGGTATTCTTTGGCGCCGTACGAATGATGAAGGTTCTGTCCGAAATGATCTCCAGCCCGAGGGATTGTACTGCCTTCTGCCGGCCGATGATACTCCTACAAACAAAAAGGTAAATCAGCCATTCCTATCATGACTCATCAAACTCAAATCAACATGGCCGCTTCAAGAAACCCTATTCATAAATGGCATAAGTCATCATTAGAAATCATACATTTTCTATATGTATATGTATATGTATATGTATATATATCTCTCTCTCACAAATTATCAACTGGTGATTTTTAGAGCCCATTGTGGAACTTTCGGGGTCGCGCCTTCCGGGACCACCTGCGGAGTTCGCGACACTTCCTGGGCCGATCAGAGTCCATCGATGTCCATGGGCCCCAGGGTGCCATGGGCAGAAGCTTGGCGTTTCATACCATGGAGGAGATCAAGTTTATAGATTTGGTTGAAAATGATTATAGATGATCATTGATAAATCATATATTATATATTTATATATGTGAATGACTGTAAAGGTATAAAAATTATTACAGTTTGTATATGTGTAAATGAATATTCAAAACTATAGTATAGACAGAGATGATTATAGATGATTATAGATGATTATAGATGTATACGGATAATGATATATATATATATGTATATATGTAGTAACCACCCAAAAATGGAAAACTGCGTTATTACTACTTATCGTAATTTTACCAAGTTCTATCTTTCTGAGGGTTACCAGAAATCCATCCACTTTTTTTTGGAGGGGGGTGGCAATTCATTCGCAAGGTTCAGAAAATGCAGAACCCAACAAATATCAAAATTCGCAATTCTTTGCGGAAAACCCAATGGTTTTGATGTTATTCAAATGGGATGTATATGGTAGGTATATTCCAATATATTCCCCAAAATTCACATCCCGGTCCTCAACCTTTATTGATGTCGATCTATCACTGGCACTGCCAAGTCGCTGGCACCTCCGCATCGGTGGCTCCCCAACGCCACAAGGCCCGCTGCGCAGAGAAGCGGCGCCGAGAAAAACGGCACGGGCGCGGCGTGGTGGAACGACAGCGCCGCGCGAAGACGGAAAACATGGTGCAGGGCAGCGACGCGTAGAGCAAAGAAAATTTAAATGAGCATTATAGTTCCATTATGTGTATACCAGAAGTACCGCACAAGGCGGCGGCGGAAGTTTCAAAGATAGGAACTATAGGCGAGGTGAGTTGTTGTGATGCATGACTCTGCAATCCACTGATGGACCGAAACGTGGTTGGAGTTGTGCTTTTTGGAGTGGTTGCAGTGGTCACCTCACCCAGAACTGCTGCATGTCGTGTGGTGTGGTGTGGCGTAGTTTGTAGTTGTAGTTGTAGTTGTATAGTTGTAGCTGTGGTGGTAGTGGTAGTTGTACCTGTAATGTAGTTGAAGTGGAGGTTCGAGTTGAAGTTGTAGTTGCAGTTGTAGTGGTAGTTGTAATGTAGCATAGTGTAGTTGTAGTTGTCTATCTATCTGTCTACCTGTTTATCTGTCTATCTGTCTATCTATCTATCTATCTGTTTGTCTGTCTATCTATCTGTCTATCTGCAAGCTTGAAAACGAAGCAATTCTGCGAGACCCCCTCAATGTTCGAAGCTGACAACATCAAAAACGAAGACATTCTGCTAGACTTCCACAATTTTCCAACTTGACATCGTCAAAAACGAAGCAATTCTGTGAGACTTCCTCAATTATCGAAGTTGACAGCATCAAAAACGAAGCAATTCTCAGAGACTTCCTTCAAAAATGGAAAGTTGAGTGCAGAGCTGACGGCCTCGTGCTAATGCAGTTTGCGTTTTTTCCACTCCTCCTGTCTAAAGTACTGCGCCTGCCACGAAAAAGTGATGCCAGGTCATACGAAGTGCTGCACCTGTCACGCACAATCATCTTAGCAAACCTGAAGATCTGAACATGTCTCTTGTAGTGCGCCTGCCACGCGAAATGCATCTTTGCAGATCCTCGTCAAATGTCCCACGCCTGCCAACATTTTTGAAACTGCGACAAAACCTTCACGTTTTGCTCACTTTTGGCAAGGTGCCGAATCCCCTGCGCCTGCCACGCAAAACGACATCTGACCGTCCAAAAGTGGTCCGAACATCTATGATGTTTTTCACATCTTGGAAATGTCTCGCCACAGCGGCGTCCACTTTTTCGACATCTCAACTTCCAAAAGTGGTCCAACACTGAGGTGCTTTTTGCATTTTGACTTCGAAATGTGCTTCCTGCCACAACGGCGTGCACTTTTTCGACATCTCAACTTCCAAAAGCGGTCCGACACTGAGGTGCTTTGTACATTTTGACTTCGAAATGTGCTTCGCGCCACGACGGCGTCATCTCTCATCTGGCCAGATGGCTCCGCACCTGCCGCTTTAGCAAGCCTACTTTTCGACCCTCCGGAGCCACAAATCATTAGAAAAACACCGTGGATCGCGACTTTTCTACCTTTTCGCGCACCTGCATCTTCTTTCTTCTGACTCTTTCTCTTCTCTGATCTTCTCTCGTCTTCTCTTCTCTTCTCGGACTCTTCCCACCTCTGCTTTTACATCTGTCCATATTGTCGGAAGTTTGAATTCTAAACTTCCTTCGATAAATGTATGTATATGTATATGTACATGTCTATGTAAATGTATTTGTAAATGTATATGTATATGTATATATATATATACATATATGTTTATATATTTATTTATGTATTTATTTATTTATTTATTGATTATATTTATTTGTGCTTATATATAATTACATACCAGGACTATGTATATATATATACACATGTAATAGATCAAACATACTTAAATGTTCTTTGTGTTTATACCATTTCAGACCACATGCGTGTCACTGAATTTAAGAAAAAAAACGTTGGGAACAACTGAACAGGCACACAGCCTGTTCTTTCTTTTCGAAGAAGGTTCCCGTCAGGACCTGGCCCAGGCAACCCTCATGGACTCATGTACCTTAAGAAATCACCAGCCATGTACTATCCGTGACTATCCTCACCCCACCATTGTCTTCAAAGGTGATGTAATGTCCCGCTTTTGCCTGTCATTCCCCCATGGCCCTTTTGTTGTGGCCTGTAGCCATCAATATCGAAAATGTCGGCCCAGATCTTTCAGCGTTTATGAGCTCAGAAATTCGGCAATTTTCCAGCCCATCAGTGGCCATTCAAAATCAAGCAGTTCAAGTCGTGGGGGTCTCAGACAAACTTGCAGGGGCCCAAGCTGCGATTGATGTTCTCAGGTGGCCCGCAATTCAGAGATGGTGGCCCACAAGTGTCGAAGTTCACCACCCAAGTGAAGGGGAAACAACCACTGACTCATGCTGATTGGTTTGAATCGTTCGTGGTTTGAATGAAAGCACGAACCACTGAAGTGGAGCGGTCGAAGCAGTTTGGACCTACACACAATCAATTCAGCAAATTCGGTTATCGGAATCGGAAACCTGGCACAACAAAAAATGGTTGGTTCTCGAACTTCGATGTCGGAGAAACCAATACTTGGGATATACAAATAAAAGGCAAAACCCGCAAAACTCCATGTTTGATCATGCCAAGGGACACCCCCTGGGCACCCCGACATGTCCAGAATGGAGCCCAGCCGGGTACCATACCTCATGCTGCCAAGGGGCACGGCGAGTGGAAAATGTTTGTGCCGGCCAGCAAGAAGGGGATACAACCAACCCAACCCAAATAAAGTGGGACGTGAATAGCTTATTACGTACATCCTGTGATATGAATAATATGATCTTGATTTGTGAGCCAAATGTTTGTTGTGCAAATTGGTGTACCACATGATATCTTCCAACTATTGTATAATCATCTGGTAAACTTCAGGCATGGTCCGTTGAAATCATCTGGATCTTTCATGTGAACCCCACTCTCAAAAATTGGTCCTTCTGGAAGATGATGTTTCTATGGTTTCCATCTTTCAAGACTGTTGGCAATGTCTATAAGGAAAGATGTTGTAAGATGGCCTAAAGTCTTAAACCCAACTATACCACCCAAATTTCATGTGACTTCACTTTGACCACTCCAGCCTCCTAAGCTCCTAGTCGGGTTTCTCACACATTGGAATGGGGACCCCTCAGATGTTGTTAGTGGAAAAAACGCAAACTGCATTGGCACGAGGCAGTCAGCTCTGCACTCAACCGTCCATTTTTGGAGAATTGCTTCGTTTTTGATGCTGTCAACTTCGAAAATTGAGGAAGTCTCGCAGAAATAACTTCGTTTTTAAGCTTGCAGGTAGACAAATAGAACGTAAAACAGATAGATAGACAGACAGACAGACAGATTGATAGGCAGACAGACAGATAGATAAATAGACAAATAGACAGATAGACAGATAGAAAGACAATTGGATAGATAGACAGACAGAGAGACAGACAGACAAACAGACAGACAGATCGATCGATAGATAGATAAACATAGATAGATAGATAGATAGAGTTAGTTAGTTAGTTAGTTAGTTAGTTAGTTAGTTAGTTAGTTAGTTAGTTAGTTAGTTAGTTAGTTAGTTAGTTAGTTAGTTAGTTAGTTAGTTAGTTAGTTAGTTAGTTAGTAAGTTAGTTAGTTAGTTAGTTAGTTAGTTAGTTAGTTAGTTAGTTAGTTAGTTAGTTAGTTAGTTAGTTAGTTAGTTAGTTAGTTAGTTAGTTAGTTAGTTAGTTACTTAGTTACTTAGTTACTTAGTTACTTAGTTACTTAGTTACTTAGTTACTTAGTTACTTAGTTACTTAGTTACTTAGTTACTTAGTTACTTAGTTAGTTAGTTAGTTAGTCAGTTAGCTAGTTAGTTAGTTACTTAGTTACTTAGTTACTTAGTTACTTAGTTACTTAGTTACTTAGTTACTTAGTTAGTTAGTTAGTTAGTTAGTTTGTTTGTTAGTTAGTTAGTTAGTTTGCTAGCTAGCTAGTTAGTTAGTTAGGTAGTTAGTGAGTGAGTTGGTTAGTTAGTTAGTGAGTGAGTTAGTTAGTTAGTTAGTGAGTGAGTTAGTTAGTTAGTTAGATAGATAAACAAATAGATAGATAAACAAATAGATAGATAGACAGATAGATAGATAGATAGATAGATATCCCGACACTCCAACCACCTTTCGATCCACCAGTGGGTTCGCTCTGCCATCCATGATTCACAACAACCAACCTCTCCTATAGGTTTCCTATCTTTGAAACTTCCGCTACCGCCTTGTGCAGTACTACTGGTATCTATAAAAATCTAAATCCTTTAGATGGCCTCAGACATCCAACGCTTTCATCATGGCGAGAGAAGCGAGTTCTACCCCCATCTTCCTACATCTTTCTACCGCAATGCAAATCTTTTGCCAGCTGCTCACACAGGTCACTCAGCGACGGGGTTGCTGCAGCTCAAGTTTGAAGCCCAGAATGGGGATATCCAAAGGATTCCAAAGGTATGTGGCTACAAGTTAAAACCATGGAATCCCCGGGTGAACATCCAAATAGTTGGTATGTATACACATCCCCCCCTAAAATTGTATTCAAAGAGTATTGATCCATCCCCATCTCTTTCTAATGTAACCAACTCAACTGTTCAGTGTGGCAAATTTGCCATGATGGTAATTGGTCTGCAGCCCAGCTTGCCTCTTTGGGCAGATCTACTGTTCAACACAGAAACTGGCGCGAAATCGGATGCCAATAAAAGTTGTGGTTTGTTTCGTCCAAGGAGTTATGTACTCCGAACAAGCAAACATCGAAAATGCAGTCTTCGGTTCCACAGGTTTCAAGCAACAACATCGCCAAGTGTTCGCTGCGCAGTGGCCAGATTCATCCCAATGAAACCCTTGGGAATCCACTGGTTGCGGGACGGGTCATTTTCACCCAACCTACTGCGACTCAAGTCAAGTCTTGCCACGGGCGCCTGGCGAACTGTGTTTTTCCAGATGGGTAAGTGAAAGTCCGACTGGGGTCAGACTCATAATATCAGAAACCAACATGCAACCAATGGTGCACTTTCGGATGGGCAACAAATGCCGGAGTTGCTGGTTTCGGAGCATCGTCAGAGACTTTCTCAAGAATGATACCGAGTTCCCCGATCAAAACATACTTTCCAGAATTCAAGACCCCAGATTTGGCGCGTATTGGCGCTCATCCCTGCCCCGTCCTTTATCTCCTCTCAGGTGCCGGTATTTCTGTCGATTCACGTCACTGGACCAACCTTTGTGCGAGAAATCTGTTTTGGGGGGACGCAGCTAAGATCTGCGAAATCAATCAAAATTAGGCTAAGAAACCCTGTTCCTGGTATTTCTGTGTTTAGCCTGCTTGGATCTTGCTGCAACACAACTCAAACCAGAGGCTCTGGAGACGCTACGCCTTGAAGAAATATGATTTTGTCAAGTGGGATCACCAGAAAATCAGAAAATGTGTCACTTCACAAAGCACGGTGTGGATAGATACCCAATTTTGTTGGTGAAATCCTCGGTTACATATATAAATCCCGAACACACTGGCATCAAACTTCCGCACACAAAAAATTGCATCATAGCTGATATCACAGTTTATGGTCATCGTCTGTGGCTGATTTGCCGTTTGTCACTTTAAAGTGTTTCTGTCTTTTGCTGTGCATTGTGCATACACACAATTTTGTGGGTGGTCATCGCAAGCTATACAAATACACAATGTTCAGTTTTTCCCACCGAGCTGTAATCTCCCAGAGTTGGTTTCAACCAAAATCGACGCAAAAACCAATGAAAACATGAAACAACTATCTATACAGGGTAGCATCTCAGTAATTGAACACAACTAAGGTTCCCAGGTTAAATAATTAATTCTCATCACACCAATGAGAAGAAAAAATGACATACATCCCAGCCATGAACTGTGAGGTCAAATCAATTCACCCTCTCAGAGCCGCCCTCCGTTGTGATTGGGTGATCAGTTGATGTGAACATCAACCATCAACCAACAGCGATTAAATCGGCGATTAATCTGGTGCACAAAGATCCCAACATATCCTTGCAAGTGTATATTATCATTAAACCAAAATGATAAGGTTGATATTATCTTGTTGACGGTTGATGGTTGATGGTGAAGCGAAGCATCAAGTTTCTATGCACCATTCATGGATTCTATATATTTATCCGTGATAACATCACTATACCGTTGTCTATGGCTTTATGAGCGGGGGCCAAAACTAAGGGTCACAAAGGCGGTCATGAGCAAAAGTTATCGATTTAGATCGTTGGCTATGACGATTTACATGGCTTGGGAGCATGTCAAACAAAGGCTGTTGGCAGTCTGCTGTCTACGTTTGCCTTCAAAGTGCGGAAGGAATTTCCCTCAGAACAGTTTGGCTTTTTGCACTGTTGCGTGCCTTCTGCTTCTGCGGATTCTGTTCATCTCTTTGGATCTTTAGAACAAAGTTATACTCAATGGTAGGTTTCAATGCCAGGCTGGACCACCCCAAGTCCCCAAGTAGATGTTTCAAGACATTGACGCAACATTGAAGTGCGCCACTCCAGGGATGGATTGGGTCTCTAGCTGCCCGGGGCCCCTTTTTGGCAATTTTTGGTTATCGCTAGGTTATCGATTTGGTTATCGACAAATTCATCTGGTAAAATCAGGAAACATGTGAAAAATTGTTTCCAAAGCACAGTCTCTGCTTTCCAGAGCATGTGTCGTGACAGGTTTTGGCAGCAAGTTCTGTGGTCAGAAGTGCGTACTCTAGGCCTTTTGCGAGCACCTCATGTCGCTTTCCATGGTTTGAGCAACATTTTCCATCATATGACCTCTCATGTAAAGGTTTCTGCATGAACCTTTTAGGTCTTTGCTCATATATCTATACAACCATCAACCAACCATCAGGATCGCCAAGGGCATAGCTGGAACAGCTGATGGCAAGAGTGTTTTCCCATTGGCGTTACAAGCAAAACAAGCAAAACAACTTAGGAGGCATGCAACATAATGGCCCATGGAGAAAATTGCATCCACGGTAATGCCACAAGGGGAAGGATATATATATATATACACACACATACATGCATGTAACTATATTATGATGAATCAAGTAAATTCCAGTGTACATATTAAGCATGTCCTGACTGCCTGTGCCATTTTGTTGCGGTGTCCTCATGGTGCCTTTGACCGCCAAATGATTGGAGGCTCTTCCCGGGCACCTCTCCGCTAGTTTTGTCATCTTCCACTAACTCGTAGGAAACCAAAGTAGTTAAACCTTTTTCCATGGTAAACAAGGAGTAAAGAACTCCTAGGTGACATTTAGAAAACTATTTCATACTGGGGGAAACCAATTTTTTAAAAAAAAAACTGTGGGGATGGTTGGAATCCCATCCATTCATGGTGATGTTGGGGATGGTTTATGATATTGGCATCCCAATCATCCCACAATCAAAATGATGTAATCATGTCATCTGTCACAAATTGCTGTCAAGTGGCGCAGTTCCTTATGGGCTTTCTGATGCGCCATGAGATCAACCGCCGGCAGCGCCTTTGGGCGCCCGATCCGCCACCGTGCTGGCGGAAGCTCCGCTTCCGAAGCGCTTCCAAGCGACGCGGCTTCGATGAAGTGATTCCAATCGAACCTGAGCTGAAGCTGAGTTGACGCGGAAAAGATCTTGAAGACACGATATTAAAAAAATAATAATAATATGAAAATAAGTAGAAATTATATGAAATTGTCTGAAAGGTCTGAATTTATAATGGCAATGAAGTGTGGACATGATGAGGAAAACCTGAAAGCATATAACAAACGATGTGGAAATCATACAAATGATGTGAGCCAGAGTAAATCCTACAGATGCGTTTTTAAATTTATGACACGGTCATGTCATTGCTCATCGCTTGTCCCACTGTCATTGTTGGTTCACCCCCATGCCACGCAATATGATGATGTTTGGTGAATTTACCGATTTGAAATAGCAACGTTCCATAGCAAACTGTCAAGTAACCAGATATCCCATGAATTCCTACATATATATATATATATGCATATATATATATAATTACCCAATGTATTCCCCACCTGAGAAGGGGAGGAAGGAATGCCAGCCCCTGCGGCTTGCAGCGCAACGGCAGCTTATACCAATAGGAGCATATACCATGGTGCTCAACAAAGCTAATACTCCACAACAAAAACCACCAAAAAAACCAAAGAACGCCGCCTCCGTTTGAACGTGAGTCTGAACGTGAGTCCTCCTATTTAAAAAAGGGAGAGTCATGTGACACAGTCAGTGTCTGTGGCTATTCTTGTTTCCACCATTGTAACATCCAAAAGGGCAACCAAACTCTTTGAATGACACTCTCCACACTCTTGGTACGACATGTCACTGTCATCACCAAGCACTATTAAGGTAATGAACTACCAGGTAGACCGTTAACCATTAACCACTAACACCCACTAACCATTGTTCTACCCTTATGGTAAGACACTCTCAGTGAGACATTCTTACAAGGACACTCTTCAAGCAACACTCTTAGTAAGACACTCTTAGTGAGACACTCTTGGATAGGCCAAATGCACCGGTTGGCAGGCGAAATGCACGAGCTTGGTACACCTGACCCCTGCATTTTTTAAAAGCTGGGGTCAGGTGTACCAAGGCAAGACTCTCCCACTTCCTTGAAAACAAGACCTCCGCACGAGCGCCTTTTCCCGGTTCCCCCACCCAATTCCGGCCTCCCCCTTCAAAAAGGGAAACACATCCGGAGCCTCCCCCCCACACCCCCTAGATGCCATAGCTTCGCCTTTTACAGACCCTCCAGCCTAAGGGCCTAAACCTTCGGCTGGCTTTCGTAATATGTATTTGATGATTTTTCCAGCGAGAAACCTCCATTTCTAGGGTTTTTGGTGTGTCTTCGATGATTGTCCCAACAAAAAACATCCATTTCTACGCCATATTCCATTTTGTAGCCCATTTTTGATCAGCTCAAGCCTTCAGCGTTCAGACCCTTCAGGGCGGTCACCGTTTCGGGACCGTTTCGGCATCCAGGCACCAACGCTCCGCGCGTTTCCGTAGGGTCCAGCTCTGGGGTTGACAGAGTACGGCGCATCGCCAGCCACTGTGATGAATGTCCAGGATCACTTGCCTTGGGTCATCCCATGCCATGCCGAAAGCCATCCGCTAAACGTGGCTGGAAAATCCCCGAACTGAAGGTTATAAGGCTGGGAAAATCGTCGAACTCAATGGTGGATTCTCAATTGCCATGTGTGATCACCGGAGGGTAACGGGTATACAAATGCGTATGAAGAATGGATTGGTTATTCCCATCCCTCAATGGCGTACAATCCAACTTTTGACTGTGAAACAGATGGATTGACTTAAGATTTCATCTGCAAAATCGGACCAGCCCTCGGCCCCAGCCTGAAGTCTGAGTCATCCGAAACGATGCACACGGTGCCAACCGCCCTGGCCTGACCAGCTGAGCAATGCCAAGGCAGTCTACATCTATCTTGACCTTTTATAATCTCAATAGAAACGCAGACAAATGCGTTGTTCCACCTCATGCTAGTTGTTCTATTCCTGCACTTTTGATGGGTCAACTGAGGGTCAAGCTACACCTACATCTACAGTTTTTTTGCTACATTCCAAGCATCACTGACACACATTCAGAGCCTGGAGGCGCGGGGCCACTAGCTGTGCTGCATCTCGCACCAACCTTGGCTCAACCCTGGGGGTCTGAAGGCCCTGGGCGGGTTATACTGGTAAGATCATCAAAATATGTATGTTAATATGATATTTCAAACTATCATGATGATTAATCGAAGATAGTATGTCATTAAATGATTGCGTATATCATCGGTCTATCTATATAGTATGAAATTAATTATGTTATTTTAACTTGTATCATATGTCAAAAACAGATAGCAGTCATTTACAATATACTGTAGATGGTGTGCATTCTGTAGGAATATAGGAATAAACCCAGAACAGTCAATCAAACCACACGGACGCAAAGAATTTGCTCGTGTCACTTCCGGCCTGAATCAACCTGGGTTCGTTGCCCATAGGTTGCAGGACCGGACTATCTTCCAGTAACAAACGGACAACTGCTTTGTGGCCGTTCTGAGATGCTATGCACATTGGTGATACTCCAGTGTCTGTTCTGGCTTGGTTCCTATCAGCACCAGCCCCAATCAACAATCGGACCACTTCCAAATGACCACAACTAGCAGCAATGTAGAGTGGTGATGCTCCAGTCGCCGTTGCCTGGTTCTTGTCAGCACCTGCTCCAAGCAGCATTCTAACGACCTCAAGATGGCCTTTCTGAGCTGCGATGTACAGCGGTGATGCCCCAAAGTTTGTTGCGATCTGATTCTTATTGGCACCCGCTTCAATAAGCAAGCGAACCACTTCCTCATGTCCTTTCTGAGCCGCAATGTACAATGGCGCTGCCCCATCTTTTGTCGTGGCCTGATTGCTGTCAGCATTTGCCTCAATCAGCATGCGAGCGACCTCAACATGACCATGGCTAGCTGCACTGTACAATAGTGATGCTCCAGTTGCTGTGGCCTGGTTTTTGTCGCTGCCAGCTTCAATCAACAAACGGACAACTGCTTTGTGGCCGTTCTGAGATGCTATGCACATTGGTGATACTCCAGTGTCTGTTCTGGCTTGGTTCCTATCAGCACCAGCCCCAATCAACAATCGGACCACTTCCAAATGACCACAACTAGCAGCAATGTAGAGTGGTGATGCTCCAGTCGCCGTTGCCTGGTTCTTGTCAGCACCTGCTCCAAGCAGCATTCTAACGACCTCAAGATGGCCTTTCTGAGCTGCGATGTACAGCGGTGATGCCCCAAAGTTTGTTGCGATCTGATTCTTATTGGCACCCGCTTCAATAAGCAAGCGAACCACTTCCTCATGTCCTTTCTGAGCCGCAATGTACAATGGCGCTGCCCCATCTTTTGTCGTGGCCTGATTGCTGTCAGCATTTGCCTCAATCAGCATGCGAGCGACCTCAACATGACCATGGCTAGCTGCACTGTACAGTGGCGTGTGGCCGTCTGTGTTTTGCAAGTTCTTTTCTGCAGCTGCTTCCAGCAATAGCTGGACAGGTTCAACATGCCCTTGCTCTGCAGCATGGTGCAATGGTCCCCGGCCAGACACATCCTTCAGGTCAGGATTTTGGGGGATTTGAAGCAGTCGTTCCAGCGCGACTGCATCGTTGTCTCTGCAAGCGGAAGACATATCTGGTTGGGTTTCAGTTTCGAAAGGCTCAAATTCCACAAGGACCAACTGGACCTTGACAGAGGTGGAGATAAAAACCTCTTCGTCAGGAATCTGATCAGAGCTGTCTTCACGAAATAAGCGTTGTCGAAATCTGGGAACACCAATCTGAACGGCCAAGGATTGCTTCACGGCCTTTGCTGATTTGCCTTGAAATGCATCTACATCAAAAAAGGCCAGCATTTCACCGGATACCGCCGAGCACACCTCCATTGACAGCTTTTCAAAGACGGCGAGGAGATGTAATTGTGGTATCAGAAAGCCTTACTGTGCTACTACCGATATTGCTGCAACTCCATTACCTGAGACCTGCAAAGAAATGGCCGCAAAAATCCCATCAAATAGACAGCTGCATGGGTTTGTCTGAAGATAGGATACCCTTGACTCTATTGATCCCGTTTTACAAAGTTGCCATATGTACACTGGTGTACTGCATTTTAAGACACACCCGCGCAGATTTCCGCGCACTTTGCAAGCTGATGGCCAAATGATTGCAAGCAAGGCATGTGAGTGCTGCCAACAAACTAATTGGAGTGCCTCGCCAAGAAACAAACAAGTAGTTCCATGCTATATACCAAGAACAAACAGGTGATGAAATGACGCAAAATGAGGGATGCTATAAGGGATAACAGGGGGTTTTTAACCACTTCAACTCTTCACACAACATTGTGCGAACAAGAATTGAGTCGTTAGTCCCAACATCTGGCGGCCTGTACTGGCTGAGCAGCAAGTCTGATCTTTACTGACAGGTTTTCTACTTGCAGCCGGTTGCAAAGTGATATAAATTGCAAAATGCGGAGCATGGCAGCATGGATCAGAATTCGGGACTTCTAGATTGGGTGGCTCTACACCAGAAGTGATCAGCCAGCTTAGTAGGTTCATTGCTAGAGTTTGGAGAGCCATATCTTCATTCTGACCGGTCCTTCTCCCAGCCCAGCCCCAAGGCATCAGAAATGCCGGGTCCAGTACTCTCTGGTAATCTCGCATGCATGACCGTGAAACATTGATTTACCTATCAATAATACTTGTCTTCCACCGCAAACTGTTATATAGATTACCAGAGGAGGTGTCAGATTCGAACACAAGGGGCGCAATTCCAGTGTTCATTAATCGAAAAACAATTACCATAGAGGCCCATAGACGCCCTATCTCCGAACCGATTTTTCCCACCACGGCTGACACCAAGGCACCAGAAATCCGCCGCCTGCGGCCGCGCAGGCGCCACCAGCAACGTTTCACGCAGCATGCCTCGCGGATCCCGCGCGCCCTGCAGCGGGAAGAGCGCACCCTGCGGGAAGCGCTTCGGAAAGTCCTGGATCGCTCTGAAATTCATGGAGTTTACCATGATTTACCGCCAAAAAAATGGGGATATGATGGTATATAATATATCCGGTATTCTCAAGGTTGGTCATGTTCCATGGCAAACTGTTAGATTGTCAGAGTGTGGGGGGTTGAACTTCACCCAAAATCGTGGGAAACAGAAATTTCAGCATTAAACTCTCTTCAACCAGCAGAATTGTTGACGTATGTTTGATTTTCTGATAGGTATGTTAGTGTGTAACTAGGCTAACTGGGGATTAGGAAAGTTATACTCGCGCAACCCTCTCGTCACTTTGGGCCTCTCACATCGCTTTCATTGTGGCGCTCCCTTCCTATCAATACCCTCTTTGTTCAAGTTGCTCCCCATTTATTGTGCAGTATGTTCCCTTTATCCCCGGTTTAATCTCAGTTGTTTCTCGATTTGTTCCCCATGTGTTTCCTACGTATTTCATCTTTGCATGTTCCGTCCTTTTACAATTCATTTGGCCCAGTTGTTTTCCATTTGTTCCCAGATTCCTCGTGCACTCCCTCCACATGTCTCCAGTCCATTCCACATGTTTTTAATTTTCCGCCTTCCCATTCGTAATCATTCGTATTCAATAGAGATCCTGGTTTCGTATTGGATCTATTGGAATCTATTCGAATGGGCTTCCACCATGTTCAACCATGACCACCGGTGGATTCGGTTAGGATTTCCACCGGGATGATAAAAGTACCCCAAACATAACCAGGCAAGGCCCCAAACATGTACCCTTTGGGAATCCAACAGGTTGCCATAGAAAACCACCATTTTTGGTAGGGATTTATCAGATTTATCATTATATATCTGTACCCTCTGGTAAACTAACGTAGCTATAGAAAATCACAATTTTTAATGGGTAAATCCACTATAAATGGCAATTTTCAATAGCTACGTTAAATTACCAGAGGGTAAATGGGCCATGACTTCCTTAGATGCGTTAGACCCCAGTCCTCCAGGAAGCTTTGCGTGCCGTCTCCCATCAAAGACTGCAGCAGAGACCGGCAGTCTGCGTGCCGCAAGGTGGCGTAACCTGCGGTCACCGGCGCTGGGTCTGCCTGAAAACGTTCCCAACATATGGCAATTTTAGGGGTAAAATATGGAAAAATATAGGCAGACATTAGAAACAATACGAAACAATCAAATTTTGGGGGGTACCATATTTTCAGACAAACCCGTTCGGAGGATGGGTAAAAAAACACGTCACGACATCCAATGCTGCAGAATGCTGGTGGCAAACGTCGACCGCTCAGAATCTTCCAGCTTCTCACTGCGAGGTTTTGCCGAATTGGCGCAAGGGGGCAGCCAGATCATCCAGATCCTCTTTCTCAATGATCAGAAAACATCTTGGACAACCACAAAAGATTCCAAAAGAAACTGTGAAAAGGAACCAAAATCTCAAAATCTCACAACTCCGACAGGAAATGGCTGGCTGAATGATGGCTCATTCAACCAAATTGTCCACCAACAATTTTCCCTGAAACGGCCATCTGTGCCCAGAAACTCGCATAGAGCCTAACGCTCTCCAAACGATGTTCAGGGAAGAAACTCCTCAGACCCGAGGAAGAAAACTGGGGCGCCATGACCAACAGATCCAACAGGTCATGGTTGACAATGGTACAGTTGGAGGGCCATGACTTCCTATCAGTATCTATCAGTCTTGTCTTAGAGTAGTCAATGTAAAAGCAAAAAAAATCCTTTGAAGATGCTTGAAGATCAAGATGCTTCAGCATGGTAACCATGGTATCCCAAATTGATGGGGTTGATGTTCACCTCTTCGTCGGATCTCGTTGCCCATTCACTGTTTTTCACTGTCACGTTCAAGCAACTCTAAACTGAGAACCCGAACCAGCTACAAATGCAAGAATGAAGAACGCACGTGTTGCATTTGAGTGATCAAGAAAAAAAGGAAACAAAGACCTTCAGTCCCTCCCTTTACTTCCGCTTACAAACTCTATTTCCCCTTCCAACATCCCAACATCCTCATCTCTCCAAAGGACGGCAGTAGTGCCATGGCTGCATCCAAGACCTGCAGGTCTTTAGGTCGTTTGTTGTCCAAGTCCCAGAAGACGTGCCACGGCTCCGTGGTTTCGCCGGCCGCAGCCTCGGCGACCTCCAGGGCCTCGACGGCCCTGCGGCGCCGCAGCCGCTGTGCGGGACCGCGGGGACCGCGGTAGGCGCTGGACACCACCAGGGCAGTGGCCAAGATGCGTAGCATGGCATGGTACTGTTGGGATGGTTGGAAATTTGAGGCTTCTACAGGAAGACCCCCAAGTTGACTATTAGCTGATTTACTTAGCTTGAATAGTGAAGCCAAAGGATGAAGTTGGGGATGATTGGAATTGGAAGGTAGGCTATGACAGGTGGGCCAAAGAAGATTGGAACAGCTCTGACCACAGTTGAAGGGTTGATGAGGGATTTCGAAACATGCAGCTGGCAGCTGCCGATGAAAGGGGATTGTGGCTGCGATTGCAACAATATGACATGGTAACAGAACAGGACTCCACCACCGCTTGTATTGGCCAGATTCCAGCTAAAGCTCACATTGACATCACTTCACACTTGCGGCATCTGTGATGGCCCACCTCTTCGTTTCAGACAGCTGCCAAACACAAGACAAAAGCCCAGGCCAGCAACTCTCAACACTTGCAGGCCATGCTGAAAACGCCTTGACTTGATTTCACTTGGAATATGGAACGGATTTGCATTGCTACCCACTTGCAGTTCATCATTGGTTTCAATATAGATGCCGAAACTCACGAGTTACAATTACCAGTGATCAGTACATCTGACACATCTGGGCTGCCGTTACTTGGCCCGTAGGTGCGCCCAAAAGCGACTCGGGGAAGTGTCAGCAGTGCTGGAATGTTGGAGGTCCCACCCAAGTGCTTTAACTTTGTTTGTTCCACTAACCAAAAATGAGATCACCGGGAAAGATAAAACGAAAGTTGATCACTGGGGAAGTGACAGAGCTTTTTGCGCGTTCAAGGACTGAGCTTGCAATGGCTACTCAACTCGCTTACTGTACAACGTGTATATTAATGTAACATAATGTAACTGTATATTAGAAATGGTGGTCTTGGAGACCCGGCCCCTTTTCAGCTAAGTTGACTTTTTACAATCGGTTTACACATTTCTACCGAGATAGGTCCCTTTCCTGGATCTCCAAATGCATTCAACGAATTCAACGGATTCACTTGAAATTAGGCATTCTTGAAATGTCTTCAAGCCATGAAAATGCTAAATTCATGAATTCACGAATTCCCATGTTTTTGAATAAAACTCACAAGTTATCACAAGTTTTTATCCCATGAATTTCCAACATTCGGAAACCCAGGCAACCGGGCTGTGGACTCAAGGCCTCAACCATCCTGGCATGGCACCATGGTTTCGTTTAGGGATGTTTAGGGTGTTTAATACGAAGCGGGGAAGGGATTGACTTATATTGCATTATAGTTGGTTATAGTTGGTTAGTTACAAACCATCATGTTTCCACTAACATCCAATTTTTCATAATTGATAATCATCCCAAAATTATCATTCATGTTCAAGCATGTTTCGAAGATTGTCGGACGATGACCCCAATTTAAGTATGAACGGCGGATGAGTTAATAACGCGAATCCTCTGGCGTTGGTGGTTCACAAGTCCATCTTGAACGCAGAAATGACAAAACATCAAAAACACCACAGGCCCAAAAGTGTGGGCTGAAACTTGGGTATATGACTCATTTTTTAGCTGGTTAGCAAATCTTAATCCCTAGCCTGGTAAAAAGATCGGTTTTTGCTGGTTACAGTATATGGGTTTGTCAGAGAATAAGGTGCCCTAGTATCATCATATTAATTTACAGATCTCTTAATGCGCCATTTTGGGGGATTCCAATGTAGAACCTGGGAATCCTCCTTAAATTTACCCTATGGCTATTCCAGAGAATTTATGCATTATGTAAAATAGCTAGTGAATTATCTGGAATTATTGAGTATTGACCATTTCTAGATGAGTGACCGCTCCGCAAGGCCTCATTTGTCCTGGCGATTCTTCCTCATCACCTGCAAAAAAGAAGGGCCGCCCCCCCCATGATTGGAAGAAGAAAAATTGGGAGTAATGTGCATATAACAATGTCATAAACCACCCATGACTGGGAATGGTAAACATACCACCTATAAAGATGCTGATGACTGGGGGATGGTGCAAATGGCATTGTTTTACCCACATTACTAAGCCAGTCATTTTATGCAAATATCATGGGGATATGATCGGAGAATATCGGAGATATCAATCAGAGTTTGCCTGAAAATTGGGATTTGACTCCATATGAGCACCGCAATGGGCACCTCATGGTCGCGGCAGTTGGGTTCCTTGCCCCTACCATCTCTGTCACAGATTTCACAGGGTCAAATCGCTCAGGGACTCCGGAAATTAGCGACTAAAGTGTCCAACCATCAGCTTTGCCAGCACCTGAAGCTCACTCAAATGACTTATAGGAGTTCTTGGAATCTTGGAAGATCTTGGAAGCATTGGAAGCCACAGAAACATCATAAAAATAAATTAGGTTTTGAGCTAGGTGAGCTTTGAATCCATTTGAAGCTCCCAAAGTTTCACCCGGTGCTTCGTGGCACCTGAGGGTGCGCCGGTCTCGCCGCTGAGGATCCGTTGTGTCAGGATCTTCACTTTCGACTGGAGAGTGGATGAAGATTGATGAAATTGGAGGATTCTGAGGGGTTGTCAAAATATAATAAAATATATATGAAAATAAGAAACTATGGCTAAGGGAGTTCAAGTATAGACATTATAACACCTGAATCACCTAATTATAAGCTGCAATATGTTGCATTGATAAAAACATTTCGATGAATCTACGTTCAGTGATCCAAATCATCAAAATCCGGACGCTCGCAACCCCAAACTGGAGATGGCCTGGCGCTCAGCTTTGGGAAGCTTCAGGAAATGGTCATGCCTCCGTCGCTCGAAACATGGTATTGGACCTATTGGATGGGAAATTTTAACAGGAAACAACGTTAGTTAACTAGCTAGCATTATCAGTCCTGGTAGCCAGACCTGGCAAAAATCACGTTGTTTCCTGTAGATTCTCTCTGAACAATCGATCCATTGAATGAGGTTGTCCTCAACAAATCATTTTTGCTGTGCATGGAATCCCTGTGGACGACTTTTTCGCATTTTCATTTTGCACCTAACCCACCCAAGATGAGTACTGCTGTAGCTACTGAGTTGAAACTGCAACTGATCTTTTGAGGTCAGCCAAACCACCGTCACCCTGAGGTGCCCACTGAAGAGAGTGGGACAGCACATAGGGAACCAGCTCCTGACCCCACGAACACCCTCAACCATCCTTCCATAAACAGTGGGATCCCACACGAAACAGGCACTTGTAGCTGGAACTATGGAAAGGTAAAAACACCCGCATTCGCCGCAGTTTGACCAACTGTTTAATATTTCCATCACCAGATAATTTTTTGGGAAAAACCTCCTGCAGGAAAATTCAACAAACATTTACTTGGAGTTCTTACAAACTTGAGGCCAGGGGGGAAGTACGAAAGCTAGCAGGGCTGAGGTAGGGTGGTAATCAAAAGGGGGATTAGCAAGGTGAAGTCGGAATGCGGCAACGGTCTTACGTGGTTTTTTGGAGTTGCTGCAAGTCACAAAAAGCACCAATCTTTTAATGTTGATGAGGTTTCTGACCAGAACGATGAAGGAAACTGATGATAACCAAAGTGATGGTAACAGGAATGAGTTGATGACGACGAGAATGAGGACGAAGAGGATGATGAGGATGATGAAGATGATGGGGATGATGAGGATGATGAGGATGAGAATAAAGATGAAAATGAGGATGGTGAGTATCATGAGCAGGGCTGTAGGGTTGCAAAATCTATTGAGTCCAGCAAGCGAAAACCCCCAATGCAGTAATCGTCTCTCGCCAAGTGTTGTAAGCAAAAGAAACGCAATATCAAAAAAAAACGCCCCCCAAATGGAAGCCCGAATCTGCATAAAGATGTTCGAGACAATGCAACATACGTATGATGATGATGATGATGATGATGATGAGGATGAGGAGGAGGAGGAGGATGAGGATGATGATGATGATGATGATGAGGATGAGGATGAGGATGACAATGAGGATGAGGATGATGATGTTGTTGACGATGATGATGATGATGATAACCACGATGATGATGACGACGATGATGATGACGACGATGATGATCATGATGATGATCATGATGATGATCATGATGATGATCATGATGATGATCATGATGATGATCATGATGATGATCATGATGATGATCATGATGATGATCATGATGATGATGAGGATGAGGATGATGAGGATGAGGATGATGAGGATGATGAGGATGATGAGGATGAGGATGAGGATGAGGATGATGATGATGATGATGATGTTGTTGACGATGATGATGATGATGATGATGACGACGATGATGATCATGATGATGATCATGATGATGATCATGATGATGATCATGATGATGAGGAGGAGGAGGAGAAGGAGGAGGAGGAGGATGATGATGATGATGTTGACGATGATGATGATGATGATGATGACGATGATGATGATGGTGATGATGATGATGATGACGACGATGATGATCATGATGATGATCATGATGATGATCATGATGATGATCATGATGATGATCATGATGATGATCATGATGATGATGATGATGATGATGATAACCACGATGATGATGATGATGATGATGATGATGAGGAGGAGGCGGAGGAGGAGAAGGAGGAGGAGGAACACGAGGATGATGAGGATGATGAGGATGAAGATGAGGAGGAGGATGAGGATGATGAGGATGAGGATGAGGATGAGGATGAGGATGAGGATGATGACCATACCAGCCGAAATCTCCTCTCCGGGGGGCTCGGGGGGGACCTGCCGGGGGGGTCTAACTGGAAAGTTTCAGGGTTTCCAATGGTCCTGCTCCCTGCCTATTCCTTGCTAAAGCAAGAGCTTCAGCTAGCACAGCTAGCTTTCGTGATAATGTTGCCAGGGAAATGTTCACTGAACCTCTAGGACTGTAGGACAACACAGGACAAGCCAATACAACAGCCTCCAGGCCAATCAAACCCCTGAAAGGTTAATGGCTGCATGGCCACACGATCTACCTTGTCACAAAAAGTGACAAAAACCGGCTCATCGAATCGATTGCTTCAAACTGTCATAAGACTTACAGTACCCATGGGGCTCCACTCCCTCCTTACGGCACGATTTCTTGTCCCTTGTGAGATACGCAAGCTGTACAGCCAATCCGGAGGACCCTTTCAGTTTGGGGAATTGTTATACAATGCATGAAGAATTTTCCACACGCTGCCCGGGGAGTTTCTCAGGAACCTCCGAAGGAATGTGTGTGAGAAACATCTCTGAGTTTCTCAGGATCAAAGAGGTTTCTGCATGATATTTTGGAAGAAGCCCTCAAAAATACGAGTCTCACACTGAAGTAGGAACTATAGGAACTTGCATGTGTTGGGACATGGTTTCCTCCACAATTTTCACCAAACATTTCCCAGCCCAGGGGAAGCTTAGCAGCGTCCTGCTGAAGTTCCCAGGTACTGCACCTGATAAGACTTCGAGGCCAGCGATTGCAATCACCTATTCTTGGGTTGGATTGTTGGGTGATTATTCCTATTAAGTCCTCAAGCTTTAGGCAAAATTAGATGGCAAAAAATCGGTGAAAGTAGATCTTCTCCACTCGTGAATGGACCTTTGCTGACGAGAATTCAATACCAGCAGCATCATTGATGAACAGGGACTTTCCAAGGCCAACTTAACTTTCAAACCCGAAAGAGAAACTGTCCGTGCTTAATTTTGGAGCATTTTGTTCACGTTGGTTTATCCATCTTTATCCCATTGAAAGTATGATATTTGGCGAACCTCTAGAGATAGATAGGAGAAACAACAAAGATCATGCACTAAAATGTGTATTTTTCGGTTTTGGTTCACTCTCTGGTTACAATTCAGGCAACCAACATTTGCAGTGATTACGTTTGAAGGAATTGTATCAATGGTGCTGAATCAATCACCCATGGTTTTTGCTTGTGCTGGTCCTGAGTTGAATGTATTCTCCCAAAGAGTTCATCTGATTTTGAACCACAATCATTAACCCAGTCTTACAACCCAACAGCAGTGAAGATTCCAAATTAACGGTAAAAATGTTCCTAAGTAACTTCCTGGGCCACATTTTGACACTCAGACACTCAGAACAAAATGACAGACAAAGTAGGCGACACAGTGGGCAAAGTGGTAGACAAGTGGGGGACCAAGTAGGAGACAAAATGGGAGACAAAGTGGGCGACAGAGTGGGAGATAAAGTAAGAGACAAAGCGGAGAACATAGTGGGAAACGGGGTGGGGGACAAAATGGGAAACAAAGTGGATAACATAGTGGGAGGCAAGCTGGGAGACGAAGTCGGAGACATACTGGGAGATAATGGGGAGACAAGCGGGAGACAATAATAGGGAGACGATTGGGAGAGAATGGGAAGACAATTGGAAGATAAGCGGGAGACAAGTGGGACACAGGAGACATAAAAAGACAATGTGAGACAAGTGGAAGACAAGAGGGAGACCGATCAGACCAGCAGTGGGAGAAAAGTCAAAGAAAAGTGGGAGACACCCTGGGGTCGGGAGACAGTTGAGTGACAGGTGGGAGACAAGGTTTCAATGGAAGACACAATGGGAGGCACAGTGCGAGACAAAGTGGGAGACGAAGCAGGAAACGAAATGGGAGACAAAGTGGAAGTCAAGGTGTGGACAAACGGAGACAAGCGGGATAGAAGTGGGAAACGGTGGAGAAATAACAGGGAGGCAATGAGGAGACAATAGAAAGACAATGGGATACAGTTGGAAGACAAGTGTGAAACAAACGTGAGACGAGCGGGAAGCACCAGAAATACACTTGGGAAACAATAGAGAAACAATAGGGATATGATCGGGAGACAATTGAGAGACAGCTGGGAGACACAGTGGGAGACAAGGTTCCAAGATGTTCCAAGGTTCCAGTGGAGACACAATTGGAGAAAAGACTGGCAGACAACTGAGAGACAGTTGGAGAAACACAATGGGAGATAACTGGCAGACAAGGTTCCAAGGTTCCTGGTGACAAGTGGAAAACACACTGGAAAACACAGGCGCGGCACATTGGCTCCAGCAACAAATCGCTGGCCTGGTTCCGGCGCCACGGAACACCAGGGCCAAACATGGACATGGATCAGCATTGGCCAGTTCTACCCAAGTCATGGGATACAGAAAAGCATTGGCATCCAAAACAATACACAAGATTATAATAGATTATACAAGTATCAATTGATGTCAGTGATCGGGCCGACATCACAAGAAGTGGTCGAGATGTCACTAGAATATACATTCCTGACTGCTGGGCATACTGGGCTAAAATCCAGAGAATTTGTTCATGACCAATACTCGGAACTGTAGTATGTTCAAACGAATTCCAAAACTTTTCTGATGTTGGGTTAGTTTTTGAATCCATTCAAGTCAGTTGGTAACCTTCGTGTAAACTTGGCAAATTCAATCTCATAGACTCATAAGTGTCCGAAACTCTGAGCCCCCAATATCATCCAATATCCCCGCGTATCCCGCGTCATGTAGCACCCTTCCAGGGCCCTTCCAACCCTTCCGTCATGAAATCAATGTCTGTACCTCGATGCACAGGAAGATTGTTTCGACATCACCTCCAACCGGGTCGACGAGTCGACGCCACCCCGAATCCCCACAGCCTAATGGTTGGCTGATGCTAAGGGGCTGCCCAGGTGTGTCATATGCCGATCAGAGATCAACTGTTTAGATGATAAGCCATTTTCAGCGTGGCTATAGGGTTGTTCTGGTTGCTGATTCGTGGTGTCTGACTCCTAGTGTCTGTTTTAGCCCATTGGTGATTGATTCGGGGTGTTCAGAGTTTCAGAGAGCTGTTGTATGGCACCAAACAACCATAAACTGTTTCAACAAGAGCTGCAAATTTTACGGCCTCACAACCCAGCACCACTGAGTGCGCTGGGAGAATGCCACAACTATGATAACATTGATATGCAATGCGTGAGGGAAAACTGGATCCGCTTTGCTCGCGAAATCAAGTTGTGTTTGATCCATTTTTTATGGAAAATGGGGGAGCTGCCACTTGCGTCCCGTTGCCTGCACCCGCCATTGAAGCTACGGCTAAAGGCGTTTTTCAGTGCTGATCCAATGTTTCAAATGCTTACGAAGTGCCGGGATGAGGCCAGGGGCCAACTATGGCCCCAATTACATAGTTAAAATATGTTAAAATGAAAATCCCACGGCCATCTCGAATGAATAGCAAACTGAGACCGCCCCAAGCAAATATGAAAAAGCAATTGGGCCAATTCCCCCAGTGACCTTTGGGCTTAGCAAAAAAAACGTCCAAACGATTGGGACTAATTACAAAATATGTTCGGTCTCCAAAAACCACATATTGTTCAGGTTTGGGTGGTTTCAACATGTTTCAACCTGTGTGTCTTCTATCTTGGGGTCCGTACATGTCCATACATGTCCATACTTCATATGTTCATACTGGACTCATTCATGCTCCCTGTGGCTCTAAGGCTCTAAGCCAAAATTGGATGGCCTCGGAAGCACCAGCGAACTGTTCGATTCTGTTCGCATGTCCAAGTTTTCCATGAAAAAAAACACGCTTCGAAGGGGCAGAACCACAGAGCATTTCACAGAAAGAAACCGACCGAAGTTGATTGGCTTTCAGAGTGTCTTTGAAGCCAACCTTTCCTTGAAAGCGACCAGTGGCTTAGTGCTTGCGACAGGGCCAAATCTGAGGCAGCAATGGTTCCTTTTTGATCTTTTTGCGGCCGTCAGCCATGGGTGCGACCAAGGAGTTCAAACCCAGCATCTGTGCTGGACAGGCAATCCTCTTCGCATCAATGGCAGAAGAAGGTCCAGTATGGTCCAGTGCCCGGGACGCTTCACATCAGTAGTGGTATGTGCCACAACTGAAACATACCAAAAACATCCAGAAAATCCCCAGGACTGGACAAACATTAACATTGGTGTACAGAAGCCGTCCCCGTTTCGGGGCTTGGCTGAACCGTGGTGGTTCTGCGGTGTTTACGAAAGGGACCCCATGATAGTTGGATGATAGTGATTTGATATTGTGTGTATTAGAGGTTTCAATTTTGTGGGTAAATCATGCTGTGCCAGTGCCAAAATGACAGTCTCAAAAGCGGTTTTTCACACCTTTTCACAAGATAACATGAGGAAACCCCTGCACCAAAATGGTAAGTGCGTGTAACTGCCAAGTTCATTCTTGCCTTCAGGCGAAGAAACTCAGCATGCTGTACAACGATCTACGCTTTGAAAACCATAAAAACCATCGATTCACAGGGCTTCAACGCTTCATCTGTCTGGCTCAGGGGTCATTTCAGGTCCACGGTCGCCACAGTCGCCACGGTCGCCACAGTCGCCACGGTCGCCACGGTCGCCACGGTCGCCACGGTCGCCACGGTCGTCATGGTCCTTTGCGCCATTGGGCACGCTGAGGATGCAAGCAAACCTCGGCAGGCGGAACTCCCAAGGTCGACGGTGAATCTGGAGACTCCCAATTGGACTCTATGGAGATTGACAGATTGTGATACAGTAATGATCCTTATGAAATATATTGAAATATATTATGCTTGTTCATATATTTCAGTGATATATTGGTGTTACTAGTATTATGTAGACAAATACGATGAAATATAATATATATATATATATAATATCAACATTTGTCTACATATGGTTGGTGAACCCCTTGCAACTTGGGAATGACCAAATGAATGACCAGCCAAGGCACTTCTGCAGAAAAAATGTCGCCCTGGCGTCACTGAGGCGATGTGTGAAGAAGGCACTGGGCATCACCCCTTGGAGGCCACTCTTGGGATTCTCCTGGAGCACTCACTTGGAGTGTGGGGTAAACTGTAAAATATCCAAAATATCATGGAGGATTCAATATTGGATTTTATAATAGAAGTTTTGAAAGGTTGCTGTCTGCTTGGAAGGCACCAAGAGACGCATGAGAAATTATTGTTTCACGTACAGCGCAGTCTAACAAAGACTTCCATGCTCCAGAAAGAAAGAAAGAAAGAAAAGAAGATACCAGTACCATGAACACGTTGTAACAACTCACCAAAGTTGAAGTGTAAAGCCGATAATTGTAAATATCATAAACCTCAAATGTTGCCGGAATTATACCATTTCTGGTGATATTGAGGATGGTTTAAGTTTTAGGGTTTACCATGGTTTACCATGGTTTACCACATCACAGCATAGTCTGTCGATCCCGAGTTCGATGACATCTATCTCAGAGAGTTAATAGATGTCATCTGGGTCTGGTAACGAAGGCAGCCCAAAATCCATTGGTTAGTTTGTTCATGTTCAATTCTCAAATACGACAAGTTTGAGGTATAAAATACAAGTTCGGGGTAATTATACCCCATTTTCAAGTATTTTCAGACACACCCATCTATTTACAATGAAATTCTGCAAGTGCCATCGAAACCTGTCCTGTAGACGCTTCTTACACCGCCTCCGGTGTGCGACTAAGCACCGAGGAAAGTCCTGGCATGGCTGCGCGCTTGCGCACAGCATCCCACAGTGAAGCATTGAGCTTGATTATCTTGATTTAATTCTCAAAAGAAATGGGTGTCTTTGAAGATAGATTAATTAAATTAATGTGGTATACAGATTAGTGTGGGGATACAGAATTGTGTCCACAGACTCCCAAATTATCAATTGAAATCTATCATTTTTTTTCAATTCCACACTATTGTGTACCCGGTACCTTGTTTTTTCCACACTGTTCTGTACCCCAAATTTGTTTGGGGGGGGAGGGGGGGGGCCCCCTGTACTAATCTGTATCCTACATTAATTAATTAAATGGTTGACCATCATGTTCATTCATTTTCCCCATTAGAATGGCAATTTTATGAATTTTTGCTGGGTATCCCATCTCCAAAGCCTCATCGCGCATGAGAACGTTGAGAACCTTGAGAACAAGACGGCTCGGCTCCTGGAAGCTACGACTGATCCAAAAGTTGCGCTAGATATAGAAATCGAAAGATATGCATGTGTACCCTCTGGTGAACGTTTACATAGCAATGGAAAATTCCCAATTTATAGCTGGGAAAATCCACTATTTCTATGGCCATTTTCAATTGCTATGTTAGTTCACCAGAGGGTATATATAATCAAATATAATCAATACACCAAAAAAACAACAAGTGTTTCTCCAACAGTAGCCCGCTTGATCATACTTGATCATACTTGATCACAAAAAAATCACAGTACCTTCATGCACAATTCCAGATATTCCAGCAGTTCAGGAACTATCATCATCTGTGGAAAAATATGAATGGTGGATGTTCCATTGCTACGTTTGATGATCACCTACACCGTAGAAGCCATGCCCATAGAAGCCAGAGCACAGACCCATCATTTACCCCATATGGCGGTTTCCATAAATGGGGGTACCCCAAAATGGTTGGTTTATAATGGAAAAATCCCAAACAAAATGGATGCTTTAGGGGTACCCCCCGTTTTAGGAAACCTTCATATTATTTTTTATGCTTACCCAACTTTTGTGGGTCCAGTCTGCCAAAGTAACCTCCGCAGGCGTAGCAATGAAGCGCTCTGCATGCTCTGCCGCAAATTTGGCCGAGTTGTCCGATTCCATGCGGTGAGTGAAGAACTCCACATTGAAAGACACTTTGGGCAGGCGCTGACCTAGATTTGACTATCATTGAATCATATAATAATAAATATACCTTATAATTCACATACAATGATGTTGAGTCATTTAAGTCTCCTTCTTCCAGCTTAGCAAGTCAGCATCCATTTGTTTTCTGGTGGTGAAAGCGCCTCGATACTTTGCACGTCTCCAAAGAATAATGTGGTGTGGCGGGTGTGGCGGGTGTGGCGTGATTCCATACTTTGCCAAGATGCAAAAAGCTTTAAAACACTGCTGCCATGTTTGCCCGCTTTTCTGCCGCCTGGAGCTGAAATCACATCACGAAAGCGCCGAGATTGTTTCGGTGTGGCGGTAACTGAGCCTCTGGGCAACACGGAGCTGCATCCTCGTCGAATGGTCCTGGTATTTGACTTCACATTGGAGGGAAAAAAACTGTGTGAACTGCTTGTCTTTCAAGAGTTTCAAGGGCACAGTTCCCCAAACATCTAACTTCAGAATGCAAATATTTGTCATTTATTGTCATAAGCCCTCCAGTAAATCAACATAGATGTGATATGGAATCTATGGGCTCTCTAGGAATCTATACATGGTGGATCTGGTGGATGTTCCATATATTTTCAATTTGGAGGACAGTAGGATGTAGGACAAGCATGGACAAGCGCTCTTCCAAAATCCCTGTCCAGCAAGACCGCATCGCGTGGCAGGAATTTCCACCTTTGAGGATTTGTTTCTGGATCCCAGGCTTTCAGATAGGCCTGCCGGGATTGGAGCAGCATCGATATCAGTGATATCAGTGACGACATGCCAAACGACATGCTGCAGGTCCAGTGAACTAACTTGATATATAGTGAACTATATAGCCAAACAGGGGCCCCATATCCCAGCTTATACTCCCAGATGCACCCCCAAGTGCTTCAACATGGTACCCTCAAAAGAAACATAATGAACAATACATCCCTTAGCAAAGAATCAACGCCGGAGTCCCCGCCTTGCGTCTTCTCTTCTTGTAGCATTTTTCGCAGAGCTTAAGCGCCTCGGGCTTCTGCCTGGTGCCGTTTGGATGACATTTGTCAGGTATCATGATGTTATTGGAAGTTACATGAAGTTAAGAAAGAACGCTTTGCACCATCTGCAAACAACAGCAAACTGGAACTAGAACAAATAAGAGACGGAAATATGTTGAAACAACTCTTGGATACTCTTGGCACTTCGCACATAGGATACACAAAATAAGCTGCCTCCCTTTCTTCCAGCGCTCATACCCTTCAAAATAGACATCGGGAGTGTTGGCACACCTCAGCCCATCAAAAATACGGTTTCAGCTCCTGCTGACGTACTCGAGGTGGCTTTCTCAATACCAAAATGCAGCTGATTTAACCATGAGTTTCCCGTAAAATGCTGCAACATGCTGCAATCCATGGGGAAATCCCTTGGTCAATTCCACCATTTATTCAACTTATTCTCCAGACCCAGGTGGGTTTAACATATTTTCACATGACAAGCCAAGGAACCCATCACATGCCACTTGACCCTCATTGCTCCGTTTTCTGTGGCCAGGACATAGACGATGGGAGTGGTTCATCTGGCATGACAATGATCAGAGTTGGTTCGATCCCTGGAACTATACGAGCTAGATCGAGCTAGGGCCGAAGGATGTTTATTGGTTTTGAAAGGGACTTATGTCATAATTATGTTTGATATATTTTAAATTATTTTAATATGTTTAATTTATTTGGCCCTGTGACAGACTCCTTTATTGCTGTGTCCTTCTGAAATTCTGTGTGCCTTTAAGAAATCCGTAGACAAATCGTAGACAAACCGTGGACAAACCGTAGAAAGCTCCTTTTTTTTGCCTAGAAAGGACATTGTTTGGCGTAGAACGCGCGTTGTCTTGCGAAGATTTTTGGGTCCAAAATAACTCCGACGATGCGAAATATATGTTCTATCCATGTCGCAAATTTCAATCGAAAGATGGGCAAACCGGAGTAAGTCCACAAAACAAAAGAACCGCCTTTGCAGCTTTGCGGCAAAAACATCCTTTGCAACGCAAGGCATTATTAAGTGCTCTGGACTCCTGGACTTATTGGGTTGTTGAATATATCATTCTATTGAATTCAGTATGTATAGCAATATCAAAAGTAGTAGTATTGAAGTTTATCTGGAGCAGGCTGACAAACACCTGGAACCAGAGAGTCACACTTGTCAAAAAGATGCAGTGGAGAGGACGTAAGCGTCCCACCTTTCTTCATACAAATCGAAAAACTCCCCTCACTGTTCATTGGCACAGCATGTGGATATCCCCTCACGCATCGACGCATCGACGGATGATTGAAATCAAGTCGTCCCCGTCATCCCCGTCGTCCCCGGCCACATACCTCGCCTCATCTCCTGGCCCGAAAGATCCGAAAGCGGAGAAACTACTTTCCCACCAGACGGATACCAGACAGATACCAGACGGATACTTGAATGCAGACATCTCAGAGTGGTGAAGTCGGAAAAGGTCAAGAAAAAATGACACAGGTCTATCAGCTTCACAAACATCAGGGAATCCCCATGGATCGATGAAAATAGGCAGTCGTGATTTCGGAAGAGCTGGTCATCACCACCATTCCCATCATACAATCAGTCCTCTCAGTGTGGATATCCACTGGTTCACCACCTTCCGGTTGACTCTCTCGCTGTCAACGGTGGCTGCACTTGCAGAATATTCAGCTTCGGCTTTGGCCATACACTGTGCCCTCAAGTTCAGATACCCCTGGCATCACACAGACACAGCTCATGCGATTTACCTCAAACATCACTTGGCAGAAGTTGAATGGATTGATTTAAGCGAACATCTGTATGATATATACAAGAATCCGTTTTTTTCAGTGATTATGGAGGTTTCAACTGGAATTTGTTTCCGTTCGTTTCCATGGGAAAAGTCCAACTGCGCCTTTCGTCTTTTCGTTCTGTAGCCCACCTTGCACGGCTCAAAAACCCCCTCGATCATACTGAAGGATGGGATCAGCTCTGTGATAAACAGCAGAACGGGTACTTCAAGCTAAGTTGAAAATTCGGAGCCGCATCATGCCCCATCCCCTCCTGATTCTGCGAAATCAAGTCGTCCCAAATCACCTCACAAGGAAGAGAGCTGCACATTCATCTGATCTGCTGTGGCATGGCTTTTAGGAGGCCTCCATGTTTTTACGACTCTTGGTGGCTAAGTTTCAGCGGGACGGAGCTCCCGACTAGATGGATGTCCTTTAAAGATGCAAGTCCATTAGTGGTAACATCCTCCTTCCATCGGGGTAACGACAAACCCCTCGTCGTAGTGGGTCTATGGCTTTTCAGAGCGGCAAGGCACGTATTTCGGAATCTGCCAAGAATGTGAGATGAATTCCGAGTCCCAGGACCCGGCAACACACTTCGCCTTGTATCCTGGCCCGATCCCCAAAGTAAAGAAAGTAGCTTCCCGCTTAAAGCAGTTAGGAATAGTTAGGATATTTGAATGCAAACATATCTCAAAGCCGGGGTTATATGGAAGTCAAACATGTCCACCTGTGTCCACCTGTGAAGACTGGCACATCTTTGGCTGTCCTCTCAACGTGGATATCCACTTGTTCACCACCTTTTCGTTGATTCTCTCGCTGGAAACAGGATCTGTTGATATCGTGGCACTTTCCACCATCGGCCATGAATCCAATGTGAAATTCCAGCGGGGACCTGTCAACGGTCCAACGGTCAAGTCATTGGGTATAACCCATGGTAATGACTAACATAGCTATTGAAAATGGCTATAGAAATAGGGGATTTTCCCATTAAACATGGTGATTTTCCATAGCTATGTAAACGTTTACCAGAGGGTACCCCATGGTACCCCAAAATGCCAAAATGGGCTGGTTATGGCTGGTTGATGATCCCGTTTTGGTGAGACCAACCGATGTCTAAAGAAAGGATCTGAAAAAGATGTCTGAGCAGAGCAGAAAACCCCTGTTGGAGAATAACGGAAAAAAGACCGGAAATTCTCATGGAGATCATGATTATGATAATCCCCAATAATTACGTTGGGTAGGTCAAGCCTCTATACAACTAGTCATCAACCAAGTTGTTTTTCTTGGGAATACCTTCAGTCCTATGGCGAACAATCATCACAAATTTGGGGGTACACGATTTCCAGACAAACGCACGTATGTCTTTACTAATGTCCCATCCCCTCTCCATCATTGGCAATAGTCTTGAGAAAAATGAGACATTTTACTCTAGTCTATATAATCCCCAATATTTTGTGTGTGGATGTGTGTACTATAACATACTATAACCCCTCTTGCACGTTTTAACTCAACCAACTGGGCTTGACATCACTGCCTCCGTTCCGAAGCCAGGGTCGGAGATCCTGCAGGCGGCTCTGTCGCAGCACTGGCAGCGCCATCTCGGTCAAGAAGCGTTGAAAATCGCTCAGCCGGTGACCTGGTGAAAAGCATGGTGAAAAGCGGCAGACAAGTGAAAACCATTGAAACCCTACCCTCTGGTAAACTAACATGGCTATTGAAAATGGCCATTTATAGTGGCTTTACCCATTAAAAATGGTGATTTTCCATAGTTATGTTAGTTTACCAGAGGGTAGGTGCCCACAGGCGAACCATGGTGCTGTTTCTGGAAGATGTTTCGCTCGAAAGTGGGTCATTTCTTGGGTAAATCAAGCAGTGAATATTCGATAGATCTCGCACTGGGGTCCTATAACATGTGTATAGCTACCTGGTGGATACAAACGGCATTGTTTTTTGATGTAACTCCACTTGTAGTTGATGACAGTTGGTGGCACCACTTGCATATTTTGGCAGGATGGCAACCTGGCCCCCGACCTTGTTCTTTCCAAGCTTTGCTCCAGAGAGTTTTGAGACGTAGCAAAGCTTCTTCAGCATCGCCTCCTTGAAACTTCTCGGCATTGCCCCCGGCATCGCTGCAAAACTGGACTTCGGCCATCTCTCTCCTTTCAACTTCAACGGCATTTTGCTGATGTCAGGACTGTCTGAATTGAAGCTATTGACTCACACATCTGTGAGCTTTTGGACTCGCAAATGCCAGCAAGGCAAAAGCTATTCAAAGCAGGCCATGCTTCCTGATCTGTTCCTCTTCTTTGGCATTAACAGGCGCTCGCACCACTTCTTGTGCTGCGACCTTTTTTCCTGGCACTACCCACACAGACCTCAACCGCAGGAGAAATTCGATCAAATTCTGAGATGAGTTTCTCAACAAAGCCTGGCCCCAAAGTCCAGTTTTGAGATTTCTTCGTTCACTGATTCACTGATTGAGGGTCTTGTAAAGATCCTGTGGTGGCTCCAATTGCTTGTGTTAAACCCCCTCCCAGATCTCCCGCATCTCCCAGGACTTGTTGGCACAGGGCCCAGAATTTCCACAAAATCGCCAAAATTCTGTCCGCGGGTCCCCCTTGGCTGCGGAAACGCCCTCAGGTCCTCCATGTCCACCTTTCGCCGGGTTAGGCGCAGCCTTTGTCGTGGGGAGGTCCATGCCACGCGCCATCTTCCAGGACCTCGGCCGTGGCGCTGATGGCTGTGGTGAAATCCAAAGACAAATTGAAGTCAACCTGAATAATCATTTGGGTATGGATCAATACCTATTAATACCAGTTTTAGGGGGATGAACATCCATTTACCAGCTATTTTGATGTTCACCAGGGGTACAAGGTTTTGACACACTGCCATTTCGGCATCTTTGGCATCTTCGGCATCTTCACCCATAATCTTTAATATTCATACAAGTAATGAACAACATCTTGACTGCAACTGGCTTAGACTTTAACTTTAGAGCCTTCACAGCCTCCACCTTCTAAAATTATGGGGAAACAGCTAAATCCATCTATATAATTCCACTGGCTCACTATCATCGAATCCTCATTTCCCCATTCAAATTGCCACTTTGAAGTAGTGGGTAATACTAATTAAATTGGACACACCCAAATCCAGTTAAACATTCAGCCATAGCCGCTGAAAAACTGCTCGAAGCGAGACGAAATGTACTGCCATGCACTGCTTTCGGCTGGGCGCCCACCCAACCTGTGGGCGCTGAGATTAGATCATCGAATCATCTTGGATCGTTGTGGGAACAAGCACTGGTAGCAATCCCTGACTGTAACTGTTGGAGCGAATTCCAACCAACATCGTGCAACTGTTGCTCAATTACATCTAAATTTCAGCTCCAGCTTGCGATCTTGGCCTTGTCCACTCGGCCATAGTGACGTAGTACACTACCTCCAGAGAAGAAGGCTGTTGCAGCACGGCCATCATCTGCCAACACTTCGTCTGATCGATTACTTTCTTTGCCGACGGTTGGCACCAACGAATTCTGGCCATAAGATCTCCTGAGCGCTTGATCTTCGGAAAGTGTGAAGCTTGCATGATTTTCCCCGAGGGCTTCTTCTTGTGTGTCTAGTCTAGTGGAATACACCAGTATATGTCTATGTGACTGTACCAAATATCATCGAATTATATATTGTATATTGTATATAGTTATAAACGTATCTGTCCTGCAGTTTTAGGAAGGTTTCAGCAAACACCACAGACCAACTTTTTGGCAGGAATTCTATATTATATACATGTGTATTACATATAATATATTTATACCAATATACCAACTATATATTATATATATTATATATTATATGTAATACACATGTATATCATCTTCCTGTAGTGTCTTGGCCAATGGCTGCACTGGAGTCAAGGCTCTGGTATGTTGAAGCCATCCGTGGCTCAGTCGCATCGGGCGGCGACTGAATGACTTTGCCGCGCTTCTCTGGCTTTGCGCCTCGGCACCCATCGACTCCCATCCCCCACACGAAACTGTGGTGCAATGATATGTCTTCACAGTATGAACCTGAACGGGGTCTGAGATTATATCTATTGTATAATTGTATATATATATTATAATATGTATATATTATACATGCCATCCATATTGTGAATGGTCTGATAATCCAAATTGTCAAGGAAATGTTCCTCCATTTCCATCAGATGTCTCGTGGAAACCCGTGGCGTGTGCGCTGCCGGAGCACTGGAGTTTCTGATGTAGACAGGGATCACTTTGGTGCAGAGACTGGGATCAAAGCTCAATGGTTCCTGCGGCACCCACTCAACCGAGCAACTGGAGGGCAGGCACCTACTGGGCATTGGAGTGTTCTTTCACAAAAATGTTAGATATTAGTTTTTAAATGTGTTTAATAGAGTTTTTACATGTGTTTACTGAGTATGCGAGCTTTTCGATGAAATGTTCTACCCTTTGAGGGAAGCGTTCGACACTGCATTCCGACTTCGCGTCCTGTGGCCTGGCAGAGATAAAAATCCAACGAATACCCGAAGTGCCATGCAGCTCAGGAACCTGCACCCACATCTCAACAAATGACCTCTTGCAGAGAAAGGCAATCATGGCCAATCATGACTGTATAGCCTTGGCATGCCTTGGCTGTACCGCGCCAATCCGCCAATCTGGGATCTGCCGAAAATGCGGTGTTTAAACTGTTTAAACCACTCCTATATCATTGTTCCTTGCATACTTCCCCCAACCAACTGCTCCGACCCTATCAGAAATTTCCATCTTTGGCCGAGGCGGGTCCAATGAATCCACTTCACTCTCCTGGAAGCAACAGGCAGCAACTTCATGTGAAGCTGAAACGGTAATTCATGCAAATGTATGCAAATGTTCAGTTCCCAGAAAGTGCCTCTTTCTCAGCTCTTTCGCACCCCTCCTTTCGCCCCCAATTGTGAACACATGCAAACTGTGTTTGGGTTTTGGTTGGGGTACCTTGGATTGCAGCCAGCGAATAGAAGAACCCCCGGGCCATTGGCCATTGTCCGGCCCTTTTTTGGAGCATCGTTTGCTCCTGAAAATGAAGCAAGGAGGCCTTGGAATTCATGTGCAGCTGCCATCCAATTCTTCCAGGTGCCTTTGCCACATCCAAAGCTTGGCCACTGCCGTTCCACTGCACAGGGAAAGTGTCAGAATGCACCTGGCCGGTCCCAAGGTCCCAAACACAGATCTGGTCTGCCAAGTCCTTTGTCGATCGGTGAAAAAATGCCCAGAAAAAAACGCAGAAACTTTGGCCATGTGTAGATAGTTCCAGAATCTTTGCCAATGCATCCTATTTTGGGAGGTTGTCCCGACTTGAGCCCCATATCGGTCCACCTCAAAGGCTGACAGATCCAGCCCACCACCAAAGAGGAGGTGGCAAGCAGCATTGGACACCAAGGCAGCCTCCAAATTCTGCACCTGGGACCCCGAGTTGCCATCCAAGGTATTAATCATGTTAAGAGATTTCAATTCGGAAACCCACAGTGAAAGGTCGTACCAGAATTTTCAGAAACAGTCATGATGGCAGGCACTAAGGTTCAGAATTCCGCTGCATGACTTCTCAAAGATGATCTGGGAACTAACTCAAATGTGACCGCCTGACTCTTGATCTTGCGCAAGGAGTACATCACAGAGCCACCCTTGAATTCAATGGTGGACTTGAAGAGGAACATGGTGCGGAACCAATCTTCAGATCTTTCTGGAAAGATCGCCTTGCAACAAGGAACGCAAGAAAACGTTGCAAGATGTTGCAAGTCGTGTGCATGCATAAAGAACATTGAAGAACTTCCAGTGGGACGAGCACTGGCCAACAACCCAGCCTTTTCATAGGCTTTGTGGCTTTCCACTTGTGGCCGCAAGAAGCTGACTAAGATCAACTTGCGTGCTCCCAGAAGTAGGTTCCACAGACCTTCAACGCATCACGGTGCGCACAAACAGTCTGCACGCGGCTCTGACTGAATCCCACCTGCTCGCCCATCATCAGTCAACTGTGAAGTCAAGGGCCAATATTTACCGAAGACATCACCCACAAACCTTAGGCCCAAGATGGTCCAAGGTTGTGGATTCGGTTGCTCAGTGATACATTTCGACAGAATCAGACTGGAACAGCTAGCAAGCGCAAACCAAGTAGCCCAGCACCAATTTTCAGCATGTTACGATAGAAGGGCATGTTCAAGAAGCCCACCAGACTACCGCCAATCTGCTTAAAGCGCTCTGCTGCCTGCGGACAAATGTGGGTCGAGATCTATGGTAGAAACATGTAGAAACCCGTGAGCGGTCGAAATCACCACAAAAAATGCTTTGATACGACCAGTACCCTTGGTTCCTCAAAAGTGCTGTGTGGTTCTGTTGCTGCCCGAATCCTGATCCATCACCTCCATACCTTGTGAGGTTTGGACATGGTCGACCGGTCGACCCAGCCTCAATCCCTACGGGGCCGCTGTCTGCCAGGACTTGCGCTGCTAGTGCTTCTTGGAAACTCAGGTGCCTAAACTGATATTCTGCATCTTCACCATCCGCCACAATCTTCACAAAAGGCACATCTCCCTGCTTAACAAATGTCATCCAAATGGGTAAGAATTCCGGCTTCTTGGCCAAGGCGGTCTCCACATCTTTCTGGCTGAAAATGCGCTTCTGATTCAGCTGGTTGTGAAGAGCCACCAGCTGCATGAGCTGTAAAATTTCATCGACCTGCTTGTCAAACTTGCCCAATTCCAACATCCTGCGCAAGCCCATGGCCTTAGAGAAGCTGCTGGTAACCAGCTGTGATACAGTGAATTCTTGATTTTCGTCGCCGGTCACGAATCTGGCAGCCAAGTTGCATAGAGCTCGAAAAGACTGGAAGGCATTTGGTTGGAGTTCACCAAGGCCATAGTCATCACTGCTAGAAGGACTGGAACTTCTAGAATTTCCTGCGACTAAATCACAGGCTTGAGAACCGCAGGTGGTGAGATGCTGAGAAAATCACAGTGCGGTGAAAGAACTGATGGATTTTTTGCAGATTCCATTGTCGTCCCCAGCTGTCCGTTCTTCTGTGCTCAGATGCAAATGTCAAGCAGGCAGATCTACAAATATCTACACTGGGCGCTTAGCTCCTTGAACAGCTGCATCCGTGCTTCCAACATAAAGTTCAATCCTCAGGTGACATTGCCACCTCCATGTGGCAGACCATTCTGTGATTTGCGAAGCTGACTGGAACAAATGGATATGTAATCGATTAATATCGATTAATTACCTGTCGAATTCACTGCTTGTTAATAATTATCCATCATGTTGCATATTACACAGCCACCACATAGATTGATGCTAGTAAATGGAGTAACATGTCATGTGTATCATCCACTTTCAACCAACCCACAAGGAGTGTCATCGAGATGCTTGCTTCCATCTCTTCGTGATATTGATTTGCGAGCTCTGCTCGGAAAAAGTTGTAAAGTTCGTGAGCGTGACTCACCTTGGCAGTTGTTTCGGGCGAACAAACAACGCAACACCAACTGAGTGTCTGAAAATGGGGGATACCCGGTATACCTCCAAGAATTGCATGTGAGTAGGGAACATGATGATTAACCAGTTGATGTCTTGCGTGAAAGGAGCATCATTGTACTCCACGATCATCTTGTAATGGAATTGCAACTCCACAAAGTGAAAGTCTTCGTTGCAGTGCAGCTGCAGTGTCAGCAAAACATTCCGAAATCTCGTGGGATCGAGGTCCTTGCTGGAAAACTTGTTTTTGACCCGGGCCAAGGTCAGCCTGATCTTTTGGCCATCAATCTCTGTTTCATAGCCTTTTTCGAACTTCCTCAAGAAGGTTTTCATCTGAGTAAGACTGCTGCACACCAAGCGAGCACGGACCACATCGACCACATTGACTTCCGGGATGAAATTCGGAAAGCGATCTGCATAGTCATCAGCAGCCTCAACCCAGCCCAACCATCCACTGGCTCTACCCGGGGATGTGGTTGTGAGATGTTATGAGTATTTTGAGGGTCATGAGGTTAGTATTTAAAAGAATAATACCTTCGCGTGGTTTACTCTCCCCAATACTACTTGTAGTTAAAAAAAAAAAGGAGGTTCCATGTCAGATCAAAACTCTTGAGTCGGTTCCATGTCAGTGCACATTTGGTTTGCTGATGTGGTGCAATTCTGGTATGGATTCACACTAACATGGAATCCTTACGGCTTCCATGGAAACACGAAGTGCGGGCCGCTGCCCTAATTCAGTTTCCACAAACAAAACAAAAGACAATGGGGAAGGGTGCCCACCCTGATGAAACAACAACCAATATCAACCAATGGCCTATGTGTATAGGGCCAAACTTGACACACCAAGAGGCCCAAGTCCAGAATTCAAAGCGTCAGATATGAACACCTTTACTTTTAGACTAAAATAGTGGGTCACTCTGGTATTCCTAACAAACTCAGGTAGGGTGACCTTTGCATCAGTCATCCTAAGCCCTACAACATCCCAAACCCGAAAACCCTGAACCCAAGACCCTAATCCCTTAAAACTTATATAAACAAAGTTAGGGGGAACCTTGAAGCCTAAACACCTAAACGCTCTAAAACGAATATCTCAAACCCTGAATATATTGAAAAGTGATGTTAGGCGAAAGAAGGTGTCTGGGTGTTTTTCATCACCCCTTTGCGGAGCCTTCTGCCCCACCTTTTTTTTTTCAACCATCAACCTGGAAGCTAATTAATTAAAATGTGTTGGGGCTCCCAGAATTTGACCCCGTTCTTTTTGCAGAAACTCTGATGTCAAAAATATGGATTTTTGACTTTTTGGTATTGATTCCAACCATTTACTGGTCCAAGCACATCACAAAAACATGTGGAACCATCTTCGGTGCGTTTCGCGGGCCGATCAGCCTGTCGAGGTGGTTCAGCCTCAATTTTTTCTCAACGACTAACCTGGAATGTAAATGGTCCTTTTAAAGAGGACCGTGAGCATGCTGAGCTTGGGGTTTCCAATTTTGATGCGATTCTTGTGTAAACTAGTAAATATGCTTCGGTGCGCTAACCTGGAACCCACAATTGCTGTTCAATGTTGAACGTTTTGAACATCTACGGTAATTGACATGCTTTGGGAGTGGTTGAGCTTCAATTTTTCTCTTGGCCACTAGGGGAACTGTGAGCATGCTCCAAGTAAAATCCCAGATTTTGCCGCGTGTTTTTAAGGCACAATTTTCAGTGTCAGAAACGTTGATCTGTGACCCTTTTGGGTAGTAACCAAGGTGGGGTATCTGTTGGAGTGATTGATTCCAACCATGTACAATACTGGTCCAATTTCATTGTCGGGGGCGAACGTGTATTGAAAACAGCTAACACAGAACTTTCAAGAATAAACTTGAAGACCAGTTTGGCCCCTGGTTAGCCTTGACATCACCCCTGAATGTCACAGATGGACTTGTTCAAACTCCATGTTATTCGTTTCAAAGTGCAGTTTGGGTGCAAGCTGGGCACGATGCTGAGGACAGGAGTGGTTATGTTTTTAAAACAGGTTGCGTGATTTCCCGGAGAACCAAATCAGTTCCACACGTTGGTTAGCGGATTTTAGGAAATGCGATTTGGAACAAGTTAGTATTCAGGAGTAGTGTTTGGAACGGGTTAGTTTGTGCTTGCACAAATTTTGGTGTGATATGATGTGATCGGATGGCAGCTTCACTGCTCTTACCCCCCTTTAGCTGTCTCTCTCTCCCTCTTGGCCCTCTTGGCTGCCTCTGCGGTCACGCCTTGCCTTCTTCTTATGTTTTGCTGGTAGCCTTTCCTTCACCTTTTGGACCTGCCTGCCAGGTTAGGGCCTCTAGGCTTTATGTCAGCTTGCTCCTCTTCCTGCCTTCGCCTTCTCCGAACACTCGCAAGCTCGCAGGCTCGCTGGGCCCCGAACCGATACATTATGCAAGATAAAATGTCAAATAGAATTCCCAACAAATGTGAAATAGAGTGTCAAAATATACGTCAAATAAAATGTCTGAAGATATAAATATATAGATATATAATTATATGTGTCAGATGAAATGTTAATGTAGAATATGTGTCAGTGAAAATGTCAGAGTATATGTCATTTGGTGGAGACCACTCGACGCAAAGCAATTTCGAGTGCAAAGTTACTTTTTCAACATAGACACCAGAACTATTGAACTATTGCAATGAAATCCACTAGTATTGCCCAAAAAAAACGTAGCAAATCCCACGGCCAACAGCCCCAAGCCCCAGCGCCTTCTCAGTGATACGAACAGGATCTTTCAATCGACCACAGAGCAACTCAGCCGGAACTGGCATCTCCTCGAGCACAACCATGAAAGGAGCTAGGCAGCTAAGCAGCTAAGCTTACATCATCCCAAATAGGGGTGTACCATGGTATACCGTATATATTACCCAAACGTAAAGGGAAAAATTGGGGATGGTTGAGTCAGTGAGGGTTTACATGGGTTTATAATATGAGTCAGTTCCCAGTTTTTTTCTGGTATTTCCGGTGCTCAATCAACACTGAAGTAGGGCACGCACGCACAACAAGCACCCATTTTGTGGAAAGTTGAGCTCCTGGAAACCTCCCTGCGACTCGTTGTGGAAAGATGTGGCTTTGATTAACTCGTCCTGCACATCTTGACATACTGCCTGGCCCGCTTGAGCAAGGGATCAAAAATTCTGCCGGGTGGGTCCGCCCAAAAAGCGAATATGCCAAAACGGCAATTTGCATAGTAGGGGAAATGATAGTGGATATTAGTGGATTTTAGGATTTTTGTGGGACCCCAGTTTTGGACAGACCAATGTGTTGATTCAGATCCTACGCACAGTGACATTTTACGCATCTCTTACGCATTCTACGAATGTTCCATTTGTCCACCCCACACAGCATCCACAGCCACAGCAACGGCAACCTCTATGGTCTTCTCGAACACTGGCTTGAAGTGCTCCGCCACAGTCAGCAATTGGTCTGTGCCGGACATGACCTGATGGCGGCATTCCCAAAAAAAGAGGTCGATAACTCAACATATTTCAACAATCACCAGGAATCTCAGCATATCTCAACCCAACCCAGCCCTAATCTTGCCACAAGGTGGCCTTTAACCAAAGCTCTCGGTGCTTTTGAATTTTCATCTTCGCAGCCAAGTTGTAAAGTTTTCGAGCCAAGGATGGACCATAATCGAAGGCCTCTGTTTCTGGGAATTTCTCCTGCCAAGCTGGAGATCTGCTGTCAAGCTGTATTCCCACTCTTACCCGCAGTTGCTGCATTGATGCATCTGGATATATGTCAAAATATATCGAAATGCTCAAAATTGGAGATCCCAAAAGGTTGGATGGTCTGATATGTTTGAATATGTTTGATATATCGAAATGTCAAAGTCACCCGAGATCAGAGGAGAACTGGCAAGAAAACTTGGTCTCCTGCACCACTTGCTCAAATGCTGCAGTTGGTTTCTTCTCTATTGACATCTGGTCCATCAGACCTCACACATGTGGAGGGAGTCTTGAAATGCACATGTTTCACCTAAAAAAAATCCTCCAAGATTAGGATCCAAAAATATTGAAATCCATTGCTTGGGGATCGAAAAATCTCCTGACATGGTTTCACCAAGTTCACAACCATTCTGACATGGGGCATACATCCCACTTTTTTGGGCTTTGTCTGGAAATAGGGTATGCCTAGATCCACTGGTTAATCATAATGTCTCATAACGTCTCCCTCATTTTAATGCCCATTTTTGGGGATAGACCCCCAGTTTCAAACACATCCATATATTCCAGAAATGCGTTTGTTGACGTTTGTCCTCTCGGCCCCTGAGCCAAGCGAGTCAAGCTTCCAAAGAGATCGTCTGTCAAGTATGCACTGGCAGCCTTCAAGTACTCTGATGTTGGCTCCTTGCCTGCAACATGCAGCAAGTGATGAAGTTGCGTGCTACCTTGACCCCGAGTTAACGCGGAAAAAGTGGCTAGAACATGTCTTAGATATGAAAATATGCTTAAGTGCCACTCATGAAGATGTTGCCGATTCATTTTTGTGGCCCGGATGTGGTGACGTTGGCACTTTTGAGCATCTGCTGGGCGTGCCCGCACCGCCCTGCTGACATTGATATTCCACCTCGACCGAGTGAGTTTCTTACCGCTCGGATTGGGCTTTTGCTTGGTTCGCATGTTGACATTGACGTTGTCCATGATTGGATGATTTTTGTGCAACGATGTGTTTGTCAGTCGAGACATGGTGATACCGTGCTCTTGCCCTGAATGTTTTCATGGTCTTTTTTGGTCGGTGATTGGGTTTTTCGTACCCCTGCAGTTTCTGGTTTTGCTTAATGTGGGATTGCCATCATTCTCCTCTTTTTGGAGTCTCTGGGGTCCTTGCTAGCCTTTGGTGTTTGTTTGGGGCCTTTTGGCCCTATTGCTGGGGGGTGAGATGTCGGGTCTTCTCGGCACCTCTTTCCGTGCTCTGTTTGCTGAGGGGCAGTTCACGATAAAGTCTACACACATGAAAATATACTTACACATCTTACAGAAAGTGATGGTGATGCTTCACCAAATTGATGGTCTAGATTCTAGATCCTAGGTTTGCCTCCCCAAACCCAAACAGGACCTGATGTCAATGGCAAACTTCATTGCGCCCAGCTGCCTTCGGCTGTAGCCTCGGCAACCTTTCCTTCCAAGGTGTGTTGTACCATCGCTGGGTCCCATGACAAGGCTTCTCCGGGTCGTTCTCTCTGCCTTAATCCCACAATCAAAAACTAGGCTTTTCTCCATACCAAGTCATCCAAGTCCGATGACATCCCATGTGCAGCAAAGTTTCTTGAAACGATCCGGCGCCGGAAGGTGTTTCTCCAAATAACGCCGATCCTTGTGATCTGGGAAGGCCTCATTGAAGTAGATCTTGTCATGCGTGGCACGTATCTCCTTGGTGGCAGGTTGGAATGAGCATGTTTCTCCACAACAATTCTTTCATATTCAGAAAACACTCTCATTTCAGAAGGCTCCAACGTTGTTGCCTACGCATGCCGCTCTGTCTCTGTTGTTCCCCTCTTAGCATTGCTTATCACCCGCGTGCCGAAACCTGTTGGGAAACAGTGCTGCCTGGACTATTCCTCTCGAACTGTCAGCTTGATCGCCCAAGTCTCGGCAAATCTCATGAGTTTCTCAAAGAATTCGTTGCCTTCACTCCTCACCTGGTTCAAGATGATCTGTTTCTGCTGCTCATCGGATAGGGGTTTCAGCCATATATCCGCGAAGGATTGCTTCAGGATACCATCGCTACTCAGGCCCTCTGGACGGGAAGTCAGCACCAGCGAGATGTTCATAGGAACCAATCGCCTGATGATGTAGCTCTGGAGAACTCCCTTCACATCGGATGCTTCGTCGATGCCGTCTAATATCACCTTGTCATCCCATATAAGGAATCACCCAAGGACCCCAAGGACCGGACACATCAACAATCCAACTTGACCCAACCGGCACATGGGTCAAAACTAATGAATGGCCTTCAAAATAGATGGTGAACACATAATAATAAACTGTGAATAAACTAGTAATAACCTGTGACTACACTGTGGATAAACTAATAAAATACTGTTTAAGAAACTGTGAATAAACTGGTAATATACTGTTCATAGACACTGAATAAACTGTTAATAACCTGTGAATAAACTGTTGTTGTTAATAAACTGTTAATAAACTGAAAATAAATTGATAATAAACAATGAATAAACTGTGAAAGAACTGTTAATAAACCGTGAATAAACTGTGAATACACTGGTAACATACTGTTAATCAGTTGTGAATAAACTGTTCATAAACTGTGAATACACTGTTTATAAACCGTGAATAAACTGTGAAGAAACTGTCAATAAACTGTTCATAAATTGTGAATAAACTGTTCGTAAACTGTGAATCAACTGTTAATAAACCGTTTATAAACTGATTTTAAAAAAAACTGTTAATACTTAATAAATGTGAATAAATTGTGAATAAACTCTGAAAAAACTGTTAATAATCTGTGAACAAACTGTTAACAAACTGTCAATAAACTGTTAATAACCTGTTATTAAAATGGTAATAAACCGTGCAAAAACTGTGAATAAACTGTTAGCATAAACTGTTAATCAACTTTGAACAAACTGTGAATAAACAGTGAATAAACTGTTGACAAACTGTGAACAAACTGTTCATAAATTGTGAATAAACAGTTCGTACAATGTGAAGAAATTGCCAATGAACTGTGAATAAACTCTTAATAAACTGTGAACAAACTGTTCATAAACTGTGAATAAACTGTTAATAAACTGTCAATAAACTGCAAATAAATTGTTCAAAAAATGTGAATAAACTGTCCATAAACTGTGAATAAACTGTTCGTAAACTGCTAATTAACTGGGAATAAACTGGCCATAAACTGTGACTACCTTGTGAATAAATTGTAAATAAATTGTGAATAAACTTTCAATAAACTGGTCATAAACTGATCATAAACTGTGAAGAAACTGTTTGTAAACTGTGAATAAACTGGTCATAAACTGTGCAAAAACTGTTCATAAACTGCTCATAAACTGTTCATAAACTGTTCATTAACTGTCAAAACTGTTCATAAATTGTGAATAAACTGTTAATAAACTGTAAATGAACTGTGAATAAACTGTGAATAAACCGTTACTAAACTGTTAATAAATTGTTCAAAAAAATTGAATAAACTGTGAACACAACGTGAATTAACTGTGAATAAACTGTTAACAAACGTAATTAACTGTTCATATGTGAATAAACGTGAATAAACTGTTCATATACTGTGAATAAATTGTGAATAAACTGTTCATAAACTGCCAATTAACTGTTAATAAACTGTTCATAAACTGCCAATTAACTGTTAATGAACTGTTCAGAAACTGGGAAAAAACTGCTAATAAACTGTTCATAAACTGTGAAGACACTGTTCATAAACTGTTAATCAAGAGTGAGTAAACTGTTAATAAACTGTGAAAAAATGAGTAAATTGTTTATAGACTGTGAATAAATTGTGCATAAACTGTTCATAAACTGTGAACAAACTGTGAATTAAGTGTTCATAAACTGTGTAAACTGTTGATAAACTGGCAATAAACGGTTCATAAACTCTGCAAAAACTGTTCATGAACTGTTCAAAAGCTGCTTACAAACTGTGAACAAACTTTTCATAAACTGATAATTAAATTGGATAAACTGTCAATAAACTGTGGAAAAAATGTTAATAAACTGTTCATAGACTGTTAAAAAATTGTTCATAAACTGCTCATAAACTGTGAACAAACTGTTCATAAACTGTGAATAAACTGCTCATAAACTGTAAATGAACTGTTCAGAAACTGTTCATAAACTGTGAATAAACTGTTCATAAACTGTTAATCAACTGTTTATACACTCTGAATACATTTTCATAAACTGTGAGTAAAAGGTGAATAAACTGCTAATAAACTGTTCATAGATGGTGCATAAACTTTTCATAAACTGTGACAAAAATGTGAATACATGTTCATAAACTGTGAATGAAAGGTAAATAAACTTTTAATTTCGAATAAGCTGTTAATAAACTGTTCATAAACTGATAATAAAATTGGATAAACTCTCAAAAAACTGTGAATCAACTGCAAATACATTGTTCATAAACTGCTCATAAACTGTTCATAAACTGTTCATAAACTGCTCATAAACTGTTCATAAACTGTTCATAAACTGCGAAAAACCGGTGAATAAACTCTTAATAAACTGTGAATAAACTGTTCATAAACTGTGAATAAACAACTCATAAACTATGAATAAACTGTTCATAAACTGTGAATAAACTGTTCATAAACTGTGAATACCCTGTTCATAAACTGTTGATAAACTGTGAAAAAATGTAAATACATTTTCATGAACTGTGAATAACAGGTCAATAAACTGTTCATCAATTGTGAATAAGCTGTTTATAAACTGTTCATAAACTGACAATAAAATTGGATAAACTGTCAAGAAACTGCGAATAAACTGTTCATAGACTGTGAATAAACTGTTGATAAACTGCTCATAAACTGTGAAAACACGGTTCATAAATTGTGAATAAATTGTGAATAAACTGTTCATAAACTGTTTATAAACTGTGAACAAGCTGTTCATAAACTGTTCAGAAACTGATCATAAAATTGGATAAACTGTCAATAAACTGTGACAAAACTTTTAATAAACTGTTCATAAACTGCCAATTAACTGTTAATGAACTGTTCAGAAACTGTGAAAAAACTGCTAATAAACTGTTCATAAACTGTGAAGACACTGTTCATAAACTGCTCATAAACTGTTCATAAACTGTTCATAAACAGTTGATAATTGTAAAAAAAATGTTCATAGACTGTTCATAAACTTTTGATAAACTGGTCATAAACTGTTCATAAACCGTTCATAAATTGTTCATAGACTGTTCAAAAACTGCGAATAAACTATGAATAAAACTGTGAATAAACTCTTAATAAACTCTTCATAAACTGTTCATAAACTGTTCATAAACTGTTGATCAACTGTTCATAAACTGTTCATAAACAGTTCATAAACTGGTCATAAACTGTTCATAAACTGTTGATAAACTGTTCATAAAATGTACATAATCTGTTCATAAACTGTTGATAAACTGTTCATAAACTATGAATAAACTGTTCATAAAGTGTTCATAAACTGTGCATAAACTGTGCATAAACTGTTCATAAACTGCGGAAAAACGGTGAATAAACTCTTAATAAAATGTTCATAAACTGTTCATAAACTGTGCATAAACTGTTCATAAACTGTGCATAAACTGTTCATAAACTGTTTATAAACTGTTCATAAACTGTTCATAAACTGTTCATAAACTGTCAGAAACTGTTCATAAACTATCATAAACTTTTCATTGTTCATAAACTGTGAATAAACTGTTCATAAACGGCAAATAAACTGTGAATAAAATGTTCATAAACTGTTCATAGACTGTTCATAAACTGTGCATAAACTGTTCATAAACTGTTCATGGACTGTGAATAAACTGTTCATAAACTGTTCATAAACTGTTCATAAACTGTTTATAAACTGTGAATCAACTGGTCATAAACTTTTCATAATCTGTTCGTAAACTTTGAATAAACTGTGAATAAACTATTCATAAAGTGTTCATAAACTGTTCATAAACTGTTCATCAACTGTTGATAACTGTTCATAAACTGTTCATAGACTGTGCATAAACTGTTCATAAACTGTTAATAAACTGCGAAAAAACGGTGAATAAACTTTTAATAAACTGTTCATAAACTGTGCATAAACTGTTTATAAACTGTGAATAAAGTGTTCATAAAACTGTTCATAAACTATGAATAAACTGTTCATAAACTGTGCATAAACTCTTCATAAACTGTTCATAAACTGTGCATAAACTGTTCATAAACTGTTCATAAACTGTTCATAAACTGTTCGTAAACTGTTCATAAACTGTGCATAAACTGTTCATAAACTGTTTATAAACTGTGAATAAAGTGTTCATAAAACTGTTCATAAACTATGAATAAACTGTTCATAAACTGTGCATAAACTCTTCATAAACTGTTCATAAACTGTGCATAAACTGTTCATAAACTGTTCATAAACTGTTCATAAACTGTTCATGTTCATAAACTGTGAATAAACTGTTCATAAACTGTTCATAAACTGTTCATAAACTGTTCGTAAACTGTTCATAATTTGTGCATAAACTCTTAATAAACTGTTCATAAACTGTTCATGTTCATAAACTGTGACTAGACTGTTCATAAACTGTTCATAAACTGTTCATAAACTGTGCATAACCTGTTCATAAACTGGTCATAAACTGTTCATAAACTGTTGATAAACTGTTCATAAAATGTACATAATCTGTTCATAAACTGTTCATAAACTATTCATAAACTGTTCAAAAACTGCTCATAGACTGTTCATAAACTTTTGATAAACTGGTCATAAACTGTTCAAAAACTATTCATAAACTGCGAATAAACTGCTAATAAACTGTGAATAAACTGTTCATAAACTGTTCATAAAATGTTCATAAACTGTTCATAAACTGTGAATAATTTGTTCATAAACTGTGAATAAACTGTGAATAAACTGTTGATAAACTGTTCATAAACTGTGCATAAACTGTTCATAAACTTTTCATCAACTGTTCTTAATTTGTTAGTTAACTGTTCATAAACTGTGCATAAACTGTTCATAAACTGTGCATAAACTGTTCATAAACTGTTCATAAACTGTTCATAAACTGTGCATAAACTGTGCATAAGCTGTTCATAAACTGTGCATAAACTGTGAATAAACTGTTCATAAGCTGTTCATTAACTGTTCATAAACTGTTCATGGACTGTGAGTAAAC